AACCTCTGCCTAAGTAACCTGTTCCCTCTGCTGTACTTACAGGAAAAAAACTTCATGTGTCTGTCCTAACTTCACTTTCATGTACCATCCTACCAAACTGTGTTCTTTCAGGATATTTATTTAGCTAGAAAAAGAACTAGCTAAGACAGCATCTCCTCTGTCTTCCTCCATTTTCATGAAGTTAACAACTCAGAGCCACCTGGCTACAGACAGCTATTCCCTATGATCAGGCCTTAAGTCCTTCCCTGGGTTTCCACTCTTCCCATTTGTCCCCTGCCCATGTTATCTGGTTTCCACTTTGGTAACTGGCCTTTAGATTGTAATCCCTTGTCAGGAGAGTTTCAACATTAGCACGGATGGCAAAGCGTGCAAGATTATGTCCACTGCTATCCCTAGCAGGAGCCATCAAGCACTGCTGAAGTGCAATATAACCCAAATCCATGGCAAAAAGCAGCTTGCAAAGCATGGATGAATGAAGTTCCCTCAAACACACAATGTTCTTGACCTTGCAGACAGACAGAGCTTTAGGCAGACACGTCAAAGTGTTTTATTGGAGTCCGGAGAGGACAAGAGCTCCTTAAAAAAAATAAAAATCAGAAACTTCAGAGTCCTCGGTTATCTGTATCTTGTGAAATTCGAGGGACATGTTAATGCCCCCTTGTATTTTTGTACATACAGACACACATATTTGAAAAAGAAGGATACTGAGAACAAGAAGAAACAAGTTAGCAGCAAAACTCTCTTTACCAAAGGTGTAGGTATTTAACATACATACCAGCCAGATGCCTATCTTCTCCCAGGAGCGAATACACACGAGCTTTCGGTATCAGCCTGCATCAGTTACGTGCTACAACCTCGCTGCTCTTTTTGTGGCACGGCGGTGGTCGCTGTTAGGCCGGAGGTGGCCTAGCACCTTCCCAGCCCCACAAACTCTCCTCTCCAGCTAAAGTCCCGGGGTCACATTTAAGTTCTGGGCTCCACCCAGACGTGAAACTAATTGGCAGGAGCGGAGTCTTCAGATCGTCTCGAATGACTCCTAGAAATGTATGAACCAGCCTTCGGCGCTTCCTCCTCTTTTGTGAGAGGGGAGAGGCGAGGAGAATGAGCGGAAAAGGGAGAAGGGGGAGAACTGCTGGGACTGCAGACAACCGAGACGCTGCAGCACATGCCAGACAAGAGCCCGATCAAACAAAACCTCCCTGACCTCCCCCTCGCTTCGCAGGGTTGGCCTCTTCCAGGAAAAAAAAAACAACATTTTTTATCATTTTTTCCATGGTTGCTATAATTGGCCTTATTTCTAGTTTCCAAAAGCCCTGTAAGTGATTGCTTCCTACAAGGCTTAGGATTTCAAATGCTAAGTGAACTATTAGGGGGATGCTGCGTGCACGCACTGATCCGGTAACCTCGCAGCTCCAGCAGAGCCTAGAAAACGAGCCAAGCAACGCGTACAGCCAAGCAAGCTGCATGGCAACTCACTTCCGAAAACTTACAACTCAGCTTGTCGGTAAAAATACAGCCTGAGTTATCCCCGTTTTACTTTCTATTCAGTTCCTAGCTTCTCACAGCTCCTACGAGAAACGGGATGGCTTCTAGAGATTCAGCCAGAGATACACCACCAGAAAGATTAAGCCGTACGTAGAAAAGTTTGGCCTAAATTCATATGTCTGTGATAAACCAAATAGAATAGAAGTTTTAAACAGACAACTATGCTTTAGGTGTCAAACATTTCTTGACGTCTGTGGCAGTTGGCAGCTGCAAACATCCGACTGAAAGCCCCATCTGCTGCTTCACAGCTTCCAGTCGAGGATGTTTACAGTCGCTCACTGTCAACAGCAATACACATTCCTCAGCTGTTTACTTTATATTATGAACATGCAGAGGCCTCTGAGCAGGTTAGTTAAGACTGCTACGACTTCTGTGGCTGTGTTGGTACCCGCAGACGCGCACGGGGCTGTTTTCTTAAGTATGTACTAACAAAACAAAGACAAGTCGGACTTCCAGAGAAACGCTTTCAAGGCATACTTACTGTTCGAGTGCTACATTCAGAGCATTACACTGCCTATTTTACATCTGGGAAGGATTACAATAAGGGCAGATGACAAAAAAGCAACTTGCTTCCATTGTTGTGTTTGTTTTGTTCTCCACGGCACGAGAGCAGTGCTGTCACGCTTGTTACAGAAGCAGCATCACCACACAGCCGAGCAAGCTAACTTACCAGCTAAAGGACTGAAGGGACCAGCCGACACCAAAATAGCCCCAAACTCATCCCGAGAATATTTCACCGCACCACTTGGGATGGCTTTCTGCCCCGCAGCGAAGTGGATGCGAGGGAATTGTGTGATATTAGAACTGAATTTATGCAGCATTTGCTTCCACGTAAAATTGTGGAAAAAGAAAATTAAAAAAAAAACAACAACCCAGAGGGGATTGTGGGGAAGAGGGAGGAAGTCGTGCAGCAAACCCTGCAAGGGCTCCAATAAAGTTCAAACATGTTGGAGAAATTCTACAAACCATCTGAGGTAAGCAGGCACTGCCACACCTCACGTGCTCCCCGACCGGCATCGCTTCCCGAATGAAAGCCGAAAGGGTTTGGCACAGCCATGCCCCGGTTGTACAGCTCTGCTGTTTGTTTTTCGTTCTGTCTCCAGTTTCCTTATTAAGTTAATGATGGGTAAAATTAAAGATTAATCACCCAACTATTTTTCTGAAGTCATACGAGACCGCAGCGTGCAAGCGGAGCGATGATATCGCTCTAATTAGGAGGTGTTTTGCCTTGAAACTTTCTCGCCCCCCAATGAAATTACTGCTCCGTAAACCAAGCAGGTTATGAGCAGACCGCAGTTGTTTGCCACGCAGAAGCCTGTGGCGTATTTACGCAGAGTGATAAGTGTGAAGGATCTCTATAAATCACTCTCAAAACTCAGGGTTGTATTTTTTTTGTGCTAAGGTTAAGAAAATTAATCTTGTAGGCAGCAGGTGAAAACAAGCCGCATTACGTCGGGGCCTTCCCCTTTATTCAGGACCAAACTTTGAGCTATTAAAGCTTCCTAGGGAACCACGTTTTCTCAATGGGTCAAGTCACTAAGGAAACAAAGCAAACTTTATCAGTGCTGCACAACTCTACATTCCAGGAATTCCTAGCACTTGGCATCCATATACCACGCTGGAGCCACGAGATCGACTCTCCCTCTACTTTGCCGAGCCACCACGGAAAGCTATGAAACTCTCAGCGAGGTGCCCGGCTTCACGGGGCTGCCAATATGAGGAGGGCCTTCCAGCCCGCTGGGAGGTCTACCAAAGGGCGTGGGGGGAAGAGAGCGCGCTTCCTGTAACGATACTTCTGAAAAGGGGGGGAAAAAAATTAAGAGACAAAAGAGTTCCTCTCCCGGCAAGTTCCATCAAGTCATCACAAGTCGGCTGAGAAAAATATGAAATCACCCTGCGAGACAATCTACACGGGTTGTAAAAACAAACCAAAAAAAGTCCCTGGGTGCACGTCACCGATCGCAGGATGGAAAGATTTGAGTTTAATTACAGCTGGTCACAAAACAGAGATCAGCCTAATTGTAGAGACTGGCCTAATATCTACAACTTAAAAGTGGGTGGGGGAGAGAGGGGAGTAGAGAGCCTACAAAATCCTACTACTTTGAATTAATTAGATGAAGGACACGATGTCAGCAACAATGTGCAATGTCACTCCATGTATGGCTTCCTCCCGGCTTTTAAAAGACATCAAACAGCCTATATCTGTATGAAAGCCAAGGCAAGGTCACTCTAAGGCAAGGTCACTCTAAAACTGAGGCATTTTATCACACAGTATGGGCCATTAGGCAAGAGAATGCCATCCGCTATCTTTAGAACAGCATTTTTTAATTTATACCTTTCTTGCATGTTAAGACCACACACGTATTCTTGCAGAAGTGTCCAACACTCAAATATCAATTAACAGGCTTTGATATATACTAATCCTGATCAAGTTTTCAACAAATACAAGTTAAATAACAGAAAGCAACTTTCCAATAGACTGGCACATTTTTCAATGTCTTCATGAATTTACACTGCAATTCATAGAAGAAGAAAGGTGCAAACTGGTGGAGTTTAAGAATTAAAAAAAAAAAAAAAAGAAATCCACCTGTATTTCTCTCAACTCTCACAAAATATCCAACCAATCAAGGTGAAACAAATTAATGGTGAAAGACACAGAAAAAAGAAAAAAAAAAAACACAACAGAAAAAAGTGCCAACCAAAACAAGACTTTCCAAGCACTGTCAGAGTTCAAAATCAGCACCTTTATTTTCTATCACCTTCCACACAGATGAAGTGATTTTCAAACTCAGACGGGTAAATTAGTTTTTAATCATATCTGAGTAACACTGAAATACCAACAGGCAAAAATGCAAATTGAAAGCTGCATAAAACGTGAAAAATCTTGATATACAAACAATTGTTTTCTTGTATATTTTGTAATATACATTTTCAAATTTGCCTGTCAAAACCCTTAGTTAAGATCATCATTAAATATGGGGAAAAAAAAATAAAATCATTCTCCTCTTCCTGTCACTGACAGCACAGGAAGATTAAGCACATATTACTTATATGAACTCAAGTTCACAGCTGTTATGATACAGCATGAGTATCTCCAACTGTTGCTGATGAATCTACTCCTTCCAACTGCATTTGAGCTCCCTGTGAAATGCCAAAAGAAGCAGGCTCCCCCTGCACTCAGCAATGAGGCAGCAGCAGTTGCAGACAAGCAGTCGAAATTATGCCCCAAATGAGACACAGAACATCCAAACGTTTGGAAAAGAGATGTCAAAACTGGAGTTTGGTAGACATATGAACAAACATAGTGCATCTTCACAGATGCGCTTCCTCAGCATCTCCTAATTTTCAGCATTTAATCCAGCTCATCTAGGTGCATGAACACGACTGGGCATTACATGTCTCGGAAAAACGCGCACCTCAGTAGAAGTATGTCAGGAGAAGGAACAAGAACTTACTTCTTGGACTCCAACTGATCCTGCTTCTGTTCCCCTGATACCCACAGATCCGGGGAGAACCACATTCTTTGGCTGCTGAAGGCTGCTCCTCAAATTTCCAGGAATCTGCATTACGCACATTAACAGAAGTTATTGTAATTCCACCAGTTCAGTAGTTCAGATCACAGAGTTCTCATTATTGAGACTGTCTGCAAGAAGTCAGATAGCTTTTAACAACCATTATTAAAACCATGTCCTTTTCAGGTGTAGTCATTTAAAACCTAGATTGTGTTTAAAGTGACGCATTACTCTTGAGTGCAGCTGTCTCTCAATTAGAGGAGATAAAGGTTAACTGCCTAGGTAGCGTAAGGATTCAGGAACTATACAGAAGAAGTTAAATTTCTCACCAGGGAGAGGCATAATAACTTCTCTACTTATTATTTCAAGAAATACACAGATAATATAGCCAACACCAACCACGCCATAAATCTGAGACTGAGCATCACTTCAGAGAAGCAAAATCCCCAGACTCCTCCTAGTTAAGTTGTTAACACGGGGAAGGAATTAATTCACTTGGTCATTTCTGGAGGAAAAGGGACACAGAGAATCCCTTTGCAGACAGATGGATGAACACAAGACAGAACCAGATTATCAGGAGAATAACAAAGAGAGAAAGATTCAGAAAAGAAGAGCACAGAATACAATAAGGGGTACTAAAACAAATGAGTCTGTAGAAGGAAAAGGATACACACCTGACAGCTCTGAAATCTCAGTTACAAACATACAACCAAAGTAAAGAACTGCAGTAAGTAGGGCTTGTTAACTGAAATGTGTATGATCAACATACTGCATTTATCGATTTGCGCCCCTTAGGCCTTTTGAAGGCACTCGAACCAGTTTTGTATGTGGCCACATGAAATGAGCGTTCATAAATCCGCTTTGTCAATCAACCGATTCCAGCAAGGAGTGAAGATGAAGCGGGGATATCAGCAACATTTATGCATTGCTCCAGGATCAGCGTACAATTACTGACACTTCAGTGTCACCAGGGGCATCGCTGTGACACCCCCGGACCTTAAGAACTGAGGTGCCAGCGGGTAGCAGGGAAGGTGGAACAGGCTCACCTTCCCCTTTACCCCACCAGGCAGAAGCGAACAACTCCCAGGTTGCTCAGAGCATTAATCCACGTGCCGACAGAGAAGAGCGAGGTTACGGGGCCACGGCGGAGTAGGTGGCCAGCTGAAGTTATGCTAAGGCTGTGTCTCTGTATCAGTTTCAGTGAGGAGCACTAAGCTCATGGTTTTCTATTTCAGAGGAATGCTATGTAGATATACAAAAAGCAGCGTGCTGGGCCACCAGGAGAATAAAGAGCATGCACTAGACAAGGAAACAGCCCCCAGCAGCAGTAACTCCTTCAGGTGAGCATTTGGGAGAAGCACTACCCAACAGTCTGCAACGTTTCCCAAGTTTAGCAAGGGCCTTTCACTGAGATTTAACAGGGCAGCTGTAACACAGCTTGTTCAGCCTCGCTGTCCCTATTCAAAGGAAAGGCCAGATGGCTGTGCACGGGAGGTCCTGCAGAAGGCAAGGAACTCTTGCAGAAGTAACAAGTCCTGCAGGGGACACCCTGTAGGAGCAAGGGGTCCCGTCAGAGAACCCCTCTTTTGGGGTGAATATACATTCGGGTCAACCAGAACAACCTTCAAACACAAAACTCTGCCCCAGCATCCCCCAAAATTTTTAAAAACGAATATGAACAGGACGGGAGAGCAGGGAGCCTTCCTTTGCAAAACCAGGGAAGGCCTCTGTTCTCCTCCCCTCGCTACTGCTCTCGCACGGAGCACACACACAGCCAGGACATAAAGACTCCCAGCATAATTAGCACAATCATAACGTTTGCCCTTCATCTCCAGCACATCAAAATGAATACATCCTCTGCCCGCCAGGCTATTTTTACTCCATGTGCTACATAGTGAACTGCACAAGCCCCACACTGCAGAAGAGCCTGCAAGGCTTCAGCTTACACGTTTTTTTTTTAACCTATGAAGTTGTGCAATGCTCTGACTGCTCTCCTCTCCTGCAGGTACCTGAACATTACCAAAAATCTGTACTAGATGCAAGAGAACTTCTGGACAGTAAATTAAGCAACACATACACTAAAAATATGCAGAAAGGAACCTTGTCAACATCACCACGTGCTACAGTAATTTAGAAAATGATTATTCATAGCACCATGCAAGGAAAACAAAAATAACATTTAAGGAACAAAATTAGAGTTTACGTACAGCAAAGACATTAAACCTTTGCAGATCAGGTGCAACAAACCTACTCAAAACGTACTTCATTTGTTTTCAACAGCTTCCCCTGGGTACGTACAAGCACGAGGGAACATAATGAGGCTGAGCATCACCTTCAAGGCAGTGAAACACTCGTTCCCACAGCTGGTAATTAAATTCTCCAACCTATTGGACAATAAGCTGGCGTCACGCTGGCAGGGTCACAAACCTGAAATTCTGTTACCGTCACACTTCCAGACTCCTCTCAAACCTGTGCTCTCCTCAGTGTGAGAAATCCGTTCCTCCCAGCTTTCCAGAAGCAGGAGACAAACCAGACTAACACGCACGTTGAAGAAAGTGCCCACCAAGTTAAGACAACAAGCAATTCAGCCACACCAAGAGATGAGAGGGCATTAGGCTGACCACTTAAGGCTGTGGACAGGGTTTACAGCACAAATGTCCTAGTTAAGGGCCTGTGCAAGGAGGAACCTGCTCAGGGAAACACCCCACAGAAATCAGCACTGCCACACATACTAGGAAGGGAGGAAAAAGCAAGGTGACCCCCAGCTTGGAAGGAATGGGGTGGGCAGGAATAGGGCACACAGAAAAGAAACACCACCACCAGCTTGAGGCACTGAGAGCTTGAACCCTTCCCTCTGCCCCTCTCCAAAACTTCCAGGCCAAATCACAAACAGCTACTCCAAACGTTAGCCCTACACAGCCTTCCACAGATGCAAACAAGCGGTTAAGCTGTGTCTCGCTTTTTATCAGCAGAAATAATTGCCTACAGGTTATAGAAATAGACACAGAAAAGCGGTCAGGAGGACACCTACAAAAAGCTTTCTTAACCAGAAACTTTTCTGATGTTTATTAGCGCAGAAAATCCCCAGTGAATAAATATAGCTTTGTCGTCAGCTAAAAATCAGAGCTATTAGAACAGATCTTGGCAGCTCCAAGAAAAGGTCTGTCGCTTAGACTCAGAAAGTTTATAATCAACTTTCCACAAAAGCTTTAATTTCGCATGCGTGTCATTGAAGGAAAACACTGAGGCAAGAACAGACTTCTTTTTTTTTCCCTCCAAATGTATTAATAACTAATCCCCTCCGGATTATGCAAAGCATGTCACATTAGGATGGCTTGGGCTCACCTTGACCAGCAAGTATGTTAAAATGCAACTAAACCCGCCTACACTGGCGCTCGAACTCGTGCTTCTTTTACATTTCAAATGCTACAGGGGAAAGGCATCTCTTGGACTAACGCTGATCAAGGCCACACAATGGAATTGTTTTGCATGATATGAAGTGTTAGAGGCAAAAAACAGCGTTAGAGAAAAGTGTAAAAACTTATTTTCTACACACCTGAAAACAAGAGGATGGGGAACTCGTCTTTGCCCTTATCTCCGCGCCACGTGCGTGGCATGGCAGGTGCTGCTGTTACCAAAGGTACATTCGTGCACTCCAAGTCCTTGGCGCGGGGGGGGTCACGTGCGAGGCGCTGGATGAACAAGCAGGAGCCGAGCAGGAGCTCTTCCCGTTGCTGTTCGTTTATGGCCCGCCGTTACATTCCTTTCGTGCAATGCCATAATCTTCCGTGAATGACTTCACGTTACCCTCCTCGGAGTAATCTAGGAATGCAGATAAAAAGAACATCAGCCTCACCTCCAGGAGACTCTCCCTCTTAACCCTCAAGGGTTTAGGTGCCTGATAGAGTTTTAGATAGGAGCAAAGCTTCAAACGTGCCTGCTTGGCTGCCGTGTAACCCTGAAGGTGCCCACTGCCCTCGGAGCACACAGCCTGCTGCCAGCGGGTGCGTGCAGCAGCGCCAAAGCCCTCACAACATTTGCCAGAAACGCCCAACCCGTGCCCAAATCTCCTGCCACTCCTCAGCTGCCGAAATGCAGAAACGTGCTGCTGCAAAGCGCGGCTCCCAGCTCTGGCCTTCACCCCAGCAGTAAAACCAGGAGGTTGGGAACGGGCTGGCTGCACCAGAAGCCTTTCTGCACGACACGAACACCAGGACGAGGAGCACCAGGGTGAGACTCCCCCTCTAGGGCCTACCTTCGGCCACGAACCAGCTCCTGGTGTTTCAGTGCCCCAGCCAAACACATCCTCGTGGCGACCCCAAGCCCTGTCCCATCTGCCAAGGACTCGTGTGCTCAGGGCCTGAAGCTACCTCAGGTCCTTCACCGCCTTCTCCCGTCGGCTCCATGCAGTCGGCCGGGCTGTTTAGTTTCACTCAGCTTTCCACAGATTCACCAAAACTCATCACCTGCATCTATCGGCCTGCAGTAAACAGCACTCGACAGCAAGAAGCAGGTCCCCTGCTGCCCCCGGGCCTGGCAGCTCCCCGCCACACGCATCCAGCACCAGGGCTGGGATTGGGATCAGGACTGAGATGAGGACTCCAGCCACCAGTGAAATGGCTTTGGGAACCACAGGAGGAGTGCTGTTGGGCTCCAAGTTTGATGGTAAAGTTAATAATGAAGAGCAAGAGCTAGCAATTTGTTTTCAATGATACCAGCAAAGAGCTAGTGCCCTGTTAGGAACCACAGAATCTGAGTCACATTTAACTATTTTTTAGTCTTTTCCTCACTTTCTATGAAGAACAAGAAATTCAGCACAAGGGGTCTCAAAACATGAAAAACACCGCTGGTGATATTAAGGTCTGCGAGGAATCCACCCTTCAGAAAGCACACACAACAAAATTAACCTTGACTCGGGTCGATCCCACACATCACGCTCCAGTTTTTGGTGTGTCCACGTCCCGGTTAGAACAACGTTAGGGACGTGAGGCACAAAGCAGGTGCTCCGCGTGTTAACCCATTTACTACCTTAGACTCTGAGAGGCAAGGTGGTTTGGTTTTGCTGGTTTTGGGTGGCTTTCCTGTTTTTGTTTTTTTTTTGGGGGGGTGTAATTTTGGGCAGGGGGCTGTTACCCTCAGCAATCGACCCCTTCAAACTTCAGCCTCCACAGCAAAGTAGCTGGAGCTGAGCGGGAGCAGGCGGCGAAAAGAAGCGCGAGCCATTGTGTTTGGCCTTGCGGTAGGCACCGAAGTAACCTTCAAGGTTACCTTGCCCTATTTGAGGCCTCAGGAAGGAGAAAAACAGCGTTTCGGTCATGGAATTTCTTGTCTAAGTGCAGGCCCCACCCTTCACAACAACTACTGACAGGAAAGCATTTTGATTCAAAACTCCGCGAGCAGCATCCAGCCAGAGGCGAAGGAAAACTTTTGTTGTTGTTGTTGTTGCTGTTCATTTTCGGGAGAAGAAAAGGCACTCTTGCTCAATAAGTCGCAATTATGGCGCGGGATTTATATGCCGGGCACGGCCGAGCGGCAGATCCGTCACCCCCAGCGCTGGGCGCTCTGGGGATGATTAACAGGGCGAACTCGCAAAGGTCAATTAAATGTCAACACGTTTTAAAGAGAGATCCTGCCGACGGCCGGGCGCCCGCCAAAACCCGTGTGCGGCTGGGGCAGAGAGATGACAACTAATTAATGCTTTGTAGAGGAAATGGGGGTTATTATTCGGGTTATTTGGGGCTGCCTCTCAGCTGCTGCGTTAGCCGGGGGTGCCGCTCGCCCCTCTGCCCTGGGCAGCACCAGGAGGAGCGTGGGGAGGCTGGAGGGCTCCCAGCTCGCTGTGTGAGCAGGAGAGGCTTTGGGAGCCGCGATGGAGCTGCCCGGATGTAAAACGCGGCCGGGGGGGTCGCAGCGAGGCTCGGGCCGGCAGCGGGGGGGGGGTCGGGGGCAGCTCCACAGCCGCACGGGGCAGGGGAAGCCCGGCACGGGGAAAGGGGGGGGGGGGCAGCCCGCTGCTGGGAGGCTTCGGGGGGGAAACGTAAGGTTTTTGGGGACAAAAATGATGGGGTAATGATAAAAAGGGATGGGGGGGGGAAAGGGGAGGGAAAAAAGTGGGGGGAGAGTAAAAGAGGGGAAAAAAGGGAAGGGGGAGAAAGTGGGAGAGAAAAGGGGAAAGGGAGGGGAAAAAGGGAAAAGGAAAAAAAAAGGGGAAGAGGAGAGGAAGGAAAAAAAGGGGGAAAGAGGGGTAAAAGGAAAAAGGGAAAAGGAAAAAAAAGGAAAGGGGGGTAAAGAGGGGAAAAAGAAGAGGGGGAGAAAAAGAAAAGGGGGAGAAGGGGATAAAGGGGGAAAGAAAAGGTGAAAAGGGTGAGGAAAAAGGGGAAGAGAAAAAAGAAAAAGGGGGCAGATAAAGAGAAAAAATAGGAGAAAAAAGAAAAAGGGATAAAAAAAGGGAAAAGGGGGAAAAGAAGAAAAGGGGGAAAAGGGGTTGAAAAGGGGGGGAGGTAATGAGGGGGGGATGAAGGAGGGGGAAGAGAAAAGGGGGAAAAAGAGCGAGAAGCGGCACCCCCGCCGAGCCGCCCCGTGGCTCCCCTCAGCCCCGCCGGCGGCCGCCCCCCGCCGCGCCCGCACCTGCAGCCCCTCGGCGCGCCCCTCGCCGCCCCTTACCGCCTCCGAGCCCAACTTTTCCCCACTCCGGGCAAAACTTGCGGCTCCCCGCAGCCGCCCCGCTCCCCGCCGCCTCGCGGGGGGCCGGCTGCCGGCCGCGGAGGCGGAGCCGGGCCGGGCTTTGTCCGCCCCCCCCCTCCCCGAGCCGGGCCGGGCCGGGCCGCGCTGCTCCTCCCCCTCCCCGCCCCTCCCTCCCCCCGCCATCTTCTTTGTTCCCCCCCCCCAGCCCCGGCCGCAGGTGACCGCCCCCCCCCTCAGCGTGCAGCCGGAGGGGATTCCGCGCCGCTCCGCCAATGAGCGCAGGGGAAAGGGGCGGCCCCGGCCAATGAGGCGGCGCGGAGAGGAGAGAGCCCCGCGGGGCAGCCAATGGGGAGGGGCGGCCCCGCCTCCCCACCGCCCGCGGCTGCCTGAGGGGGAGGCAGCGGCGGAGCCCTCAGACCCGACACGGCCCGGTAGGGCCGTGTCGGGTCTGAGGGCTCCGCCGCTGCCCCCGGCGTTACCTCGCTGCTAATAAACTGTTACCTCCTTCCGAATAAAGTCACCAAATTCACTCACCCTGCCCCTGTCTCAGCTCCATGCCGTCCCCTCGGGTCCTGTCGCTGTCCCCAGAGAGCAGAGCTCAGCGCCTGCCCCTCCGCTCCCCTCGTGAGGCAGCCGCAGGCCGCCATGAGGCCTCCCCTCAGCCTCCCCTCGCACACAGTCCCCTCTCCAGACCTGTCCCCACCTCCACAGCCCTCCTTGGGACACTCTAATAGTGCTGAAATCAACCCAAATCCACAACCATGCAGTCCCGTTGCCTTTCCCATGGCCATATCACAGGGATAATCCACAAATAAACTCCATTATTCCCACCCAGTAAGTCATAACTTGGCACCCAAGCACTGGATGTCTTTGTCCTTTAACCTCAGAACATACAACCTTGTTGCTTGTAGCTTAAACTTCCTTCAAATTACTCCAGTCTTCAAGTTCAGACGTTTTTTATTCAGGCTCTCCTGATCCTCCCTTCTCCAGACCGTGCCTCCAGCTGTGTCGCTGGGAAGTTTCACCAGTATGCTCTGACATCCAGTGCCAAGGTCGTGGATGAAAATGTTCAGCTTTACGTCTGTCAAATGCCTGATCTTCTGGAGCTTCCTGCAGTGAGGGAACACTCCCTCTGTGAAATGCCCTTATGCCAGTTTCTTATTGCATTTCATCCCACTTCTAACTTACTTCCACATGTTTAATTATGGTTTCCTTATAAATTTGCTCTAAATCCTTACTGACTAGCAGTAGCAGACCACTGGGCTGCAATTGCTTCCTGCTGTGCTTGACCACCAGCTGTGAGAAGGCACTGGTGGGCAGCCCGTGCTGGCTTCCCCCCACCTTTGAAGAACATCTTATATGACTCCTGCCCTCTGGTGAAGATTGCCATAGTAAGAGTCTCATACTATAAATGTAAGAATAACAGCAGCTAACACCAGCCAACGTGCCGTATGCTACATCTGGGAGTCATGGGAGAGTCATCAGTGTAAGAATTCATGAACATAGATTTGGCTGAACTTGGATTTTCTCCCATACAGGACATGGAGGTCCTTCCTTCCCACCCTTTTCACCAAAGAGCCGAGTATTATTGCATGCACACATGGGGGCAAGCATCCTCTCCCGTGTGGCTCAAAACACAACCTTAGCTTAGATTTTGTTGTTGGTACTGCTACGTTTGTGTTTCTCAGTTGAGAAATTGGTGACTTGTTGAGCAGCCCTGCTACCTTTCTGATGCCTGGGCCTTTCAGCACAGAGGTTCAAGCATTATTACTGTTTGTAAGGCTTGTGTTTCTGTCATAGCTCGGCACAAATCCAGGAACAGCACCTAGGTCCTAACCCCAACAACCCACAGCTCAAACTGGACGGGGTGAAACCTAGCATTTATACGTGGGATAGTTACACAAGGATTCAGCTGAATCTCAGCAGCAGAGCAGAGCAAAAATGCTGGTTCTGCTCAGATGCATAGTCCCTCCTGCAATAGCCATTCCCAGCCTCCCTATACAAGGGTAAAATAAGGTGTCCACAGGTCACCACAGACACACAGGTGACTTGCAGTGGCTTTATGAGCTGCCGCTGACTGAGCAGTGGTATTTGGCCGGGTTCCTGCTCATAAACTGCTTCAAACATGAGAACAACATTTCGTAAGCCGCTCGCGCCGGGGAGGAGGTTTGTGTTAGCATTTCATCTCGCCGTTGCTGTGGCTCAGAGCAGGGCTGGGCACCGCTGCTCTCCACAGGCTTTAGCACCCAGCTGGATCGATGAGAAGGCCAGGTGAGCCCAACCTCGCTGGCCTTGGATGAGCCAAACGTTACTGTTGCACACTTAAAACATCTCGGTAAACACACGAGATTCAATTAGGTATTTAAGTTGTGCGGGGTTATATTTACTAGATGTTTTCAGTCACATTTTATAGCTGCAATTTCTCTGAAGGAAAGCTATTACAATCTGCCAAAGGACAAGCCCTCTGAGTGAGGAAAAAAAAGTGTCTACTTTGTTACGGGCATGATTCTCACAAATGCACTAGTCAATGGTGTCCTTGTAGTGATTAATAGAGAAGCCATTCAGAGTCCTCGGGGGTAGGGGGTGTATTTTTTTTTTTTTAATTACCAAGATAACTTCCTCATCCAATCCATTGCTCAAAGACATAACAACCGTGTTTTACTCATTCTCGTTGCTGTAAGTGAGATGAAGAAGTGTTGATATATTCTCCCTGGAGGTCATCAGAAATACAAACAAGGTTGTGGACCTAATGTATACACACAGCCTAGTGGATAAAGTCAGGGGTTTATTGTACTGTAAAGGAAGCCAAACAGAAGGGAAGAGGATTAAATTAGACATTTGGAAGTAAGAGTTACCTGCCCTGCATGGCAGCTGATCTGCGGCAGAGCTGCTGTGTGGGAGGCTGGGAAGAAGAAGCAGCACAGGCATTTATTGTATTTTTTGATGAAGGACAAACACACTGCAACATTAAGGGTAAAACCAGTGATAATCATGTTGCCCCTTTTGATCCAAAGTCATGAAATGTGGCCTCACAGCTTATTTCCATCAGAAAGCCAAGGGTAGAGTTGGGAATGTTGCTGACAGAACTCTGCTTCCTTGTAGAAGATTATACCCGCTGCAATATTTATTCCCAGCTTTCTCCCAGTCTGTTTTCGACCGGAAAGTGTCCTCAAGTTTCCCTCAGCGTTTTCCACCCTTCCTTTGCAGCTGTGACTGCTCGTCTCTGCCCCTTCTCTCGCTGTTCCAGTCGCAAGCAAACGCCCCTCCAAGCTACGTGCTCTGCCCGATGCTCTGCTGCTGAGCAGCATGGCCTCTACAGCCCGAGCTTGTGGGGGAAACTGGTGTAACACCACCGCTCCTACTCCAGAAGTGAATGTGTGTGCTGAAAGAGCCACACAGCTAGGTGCTCCTCCGAGCAGCACACTTCAGCAACACAAAATGGTTTTCTGCCCAGTCCAGCTTTCGGTGCAGCTCCCGTCTCTCAGTCTGATGATGTCTAGGGAGGAACTGACATCAGTTGGCCGCTGGATACATCCGCAATGAACCTGCTCAGTGCGTCAGACTAGGGCTGGGCAGTTCTGCTATTTCATTCCTGATGGAAACAATAATTCAGAAAAAGAAATAAAACCAACACTCTTCCAAATTTCATTTTCTTTTTCCATTTAAACAACGTCTTGTCGTCTGCAGGATATGTAATATGAATACGTAATGTTTGGGTGAGAGGGGGAGAGGGGTTAGGTCTTTGCCCTCCACTATCATCCTCAGTTCTGTGTGTCTTTGAAAGCACAACAGGCAGCTTTTTCAAGTGGCCGAGCTGGTAAACAGCAGCAAATGTCCAGTTCCACAATTTTATCATGCTCACTGTGAGTTACCATCAGGGAGCAGTACACTATGCATCGTATAGCCTTCAGATAAAAAATAATCAGAGTAACAGGGTTGTTGTCTTGCATTTTCATCTCTCTGGCATTCAAAGCAAAATTAAAACAACTTAGAAGATGCTACTACACTTCAGAAGTGATTTTTAAACTTCAGGTCTCAACTACAAAAATATTCCTCTTGATATATCTGACAAGATTCTAGTTAGTGCCTCGGGGGATGCCCATAATATCCCCTCTCTCTGTATATAACATCTTCTCTCTCTGTAATTATTAATACCGTGGTCTCTTCTCTCTCTGTAATTATTAATACCATGGTTTAACTCCATCCAACATTGTAAAAGAAGTATATGCTAACAAACTGGCTAGATACGATGTACTGGCTGTGGAGGCACGTGCCTGCTCCCCCTGGAAAGCTTGCTTGGGCAGTGCAGTGATCAGATCTTCACATGTGGAACTGAACTTGAGGTCTGCTCAATTTTACATTGATGTTTTCAACAAGTGGACACGGGGGGAAAAAATAACAAATAGGGCTTGTTTCTGCTCCTGTGGACTTCCCTGCTGCTTGAGTTGTGGTTCTGTTGTGTCAGATACCAGGCTGTCAAGAGCTTGTCCCTAGCCCAAAAAGTCAATGATCTAAACTGCAGAGGGGTGAGGACAGCTGGGCAATGGACACGGATTAGGGAAAGAATACAGGAACATTGAGGCTGCTAGGACTGAAATAAGCAGGAGCCACCATCCATCAGCTGTCTAGCTGCTGACACTTGTTTTGTCCTGCACACACTTCCCCTTCTCTCTGTTCTGGATAATGAGAGATCCAGGCTCTGGCGCATCCAGGAAGGATGATAATACTACATTTTCCCATTTGAGGACAGAACATTATGAAAACAATTGTTCTTTTTCTAGGACTTGATAGGAAGTATGCCAATAGGATATATCAGCAGGGATGTCCCACCACTCTGCTCCAAATGAAAGTTCAACTCTCAAATGGCAATTTTCTGCTTCCCTCCTCAACTTAAATTTTAGTGTTTATGTAGAGGGTGATTAAGTTTTCTCAGACATCCTTTCACACATTTTCTTTCTTTTTTTTTTCTTCTATTTTTCTCCAAGAAACAGATCCAGGCTTGCAAAGCAGACGGACAGACTCCTGACTAGGATGACTGGGGACCACAGGGTGCACTGCAGCACACGTTCAGCACTCTCTCTGGATAAAGGTTTGGTGATTTACATCTCTGAATGTTGGTAGGAGCTGAGCTCACCCAGAATAACAAGAAAAAAATGTGTCCTGGGATAGCTGGTATGCTATGGACTAAGAGATTGCTTTCAATTCCAGAGAAATGCTGCAGTTAAAAAATCTAAAAATAAATCTAAAATCTAAAAATAAAAGATCATGGCCAATTCTCAAAAGATGCAGAAGCTCTGTATGTTTTCAGGCCAGGTTATCAAACCATTTGCAATGCCTATTTTAAACAACAAAAAACTTAGCGAGCAGATGTATACACAGATACAGGCCTGGCAGCTCCAGTAGCTGTGTTTGCCTCACAGTAGGTGTTAAAGCTCTTTTTTTCTCCTAACCTGGCAGCTCTGGAGCAGGGTAAAGACTTTTCCAGTAGTTGTTTTGAACTGTGTTCCACCATTATCTGATAGCATCGTTAGCTGAAACCTTAGCCATGAAGTCAAAGTGAAGCCAGGCATGAGGAAAACCTTTAGTTCTGAAGGCCGACAATAAGGGCAACGTGACTTTGGAGCGTTGTTTAAAGAACAAAGAGCCTGGCTTGGCCACTCTCTTGCCAGAGGAGATCGCGACCTTGTGCTACTAATGCAAGAGCGTTATCGTGGGGTTAAGAGGACCAGCAGCAGGCCAGGTGAGGCTCTCCCCCTTAAGTTGTCATGCCAAAGGCAACAGGACATTTTAGTTAATACCACGTAGTGTTAGTAAAGAGCAAGAAAGTCTAGTACTCAAACAATTCGATTTTAATAAAAATATTGCTAGTAAATGTCTCTGAAGATACAAATTCTCCTGCTATGAGATCTTGTGTATTTATTTAAATGCAGAAAGTTGCATGTGTAATATCGTAAGAGAACAGTTAAAGCCTATAGCTCTTTGCACTTTTTACCAGGAATAGATCAGAAACTAGTAAAAATATAATTTCCTAAATAATTGAAATTTGAAGTAGAGGTGGGTGCTGAAACAAAAGAAGGGAGAACATGAAATATGGTATCGAAAGGAACTGGGATATACTCTTTTTTTTTGGCCAGTCATCAATGTGTTTAATTTTGCCTACCTGAGGCTCGGGTTGTGTACAGGAACAGCCCTGGGAATGGGTGCAGGAAGATCAGCCTGGGAAGTTGCCCTTTCTTTGCCATGCACTTTCCTCACCTGTGTAATTTTCTCATATGTGCTGTGCATGAGCTCTTAAGGATCGGGGCCATCTCTACGTTGGGGAGGTGTCATCGAACATCACACAGCACAAACTGATAGCTCTGTTTTGCAATGCAGGCTGCTCAGCTCACACTTATTTATCAAACAAGTTTCATAAAGCTTCCCCTCCCTAGCTGAATGCTGGGGACAAGAAAGCAAAGTAATGAGTCCACAGCTTTTGCCCTTACCTGAGTGTTTTTTCAAGGACTAAATGTCTTTTTTTTTTTTTCTTTTCCCAAAAGATGTTTCCAAGCTTCAGATTTTCCATGCTGCTCACTAAAACGTTTTTACAGTGAATGCAGCACGAGGAGTGAACAAGTAACACCACAATAATCTATTGCATTATTACTTTCGTAATATTAAATCGCTGAGCATGTCATTCATGTTTAGCATATTATTTTCTACAGTACATTGCCAGTAAAAGTAGGCAGCAACATTTTTCTTACAGTTTAGCTGGTGGAATGTAATTAAAGATTGTATCATGTGGTGACAAAAAAAAGAGTTGAATTAGAGACCACAACTGTAATTCTTACATTTCATAACATGCGAGCACTTGATTTTGTGGCTTTCTTCCAGTGTAGCTTTTACAAGTCATTCTCTTTAAAAACTGGGGGAGAAAAACCCCAAATCATCAGCGTGTTATTTGTATGATATTGGCACAGGGGCTGAAACCTGTAGGTTCCCTATAGAAACCACAGCTACTTGAAGGAGAGTGCGTTTGCTGATAGCTAAACCTTGTTCTCCGTAGGTGGACCAGCACAAAAGGGGGTCTGCTTCGTGGGTTTCAGAGGTTGTGGCAGCTGCATAGGGTTTAGGAAGCTTGGTTATCACTCCAGGACTGGCCCCACTGTGTTCCAGGAGAGGCAGGTATTCTTCCCAGAGACTGCCCATGGGACAGATTGGAGCAAAGGAAGAGTGAACTAGAAACAGGAACAAAACTGCCTCGCAGAGTGATGAATACCAAGAACAAGTGAAATCAAAGATGCGAGATCCATATCCAGCTTACACCTGTAGAGCTGGTAACGAACCAGTTTTTCAAGTCTCTGTAGGAGCAGTGGCAGAGATTCTGAATTTCTGTGCGTCCTTCAGCTGTCCACAAGAGAAAACACGCCGTATGGGCAACTGCATGTTTTCAGGTTAATCATTAGAAAAGGTCTGGAGCACTCTGCTGCTTCCCTGCCTGGGTCCTTTTTACTTTAGCCAGCCTGTTAGGAGTCTGCTGGCTCTCAGGCACTAAAGGACCCGGAGATGCACAGTAAAGAGGCAAGGCTGTGTGTCTGTGCTGGGAGGAAGGGTGCAACCAACGCTGTGCCTCTGCTCAGCCCCTTGTCCCCACATCCCACCCGCATCTCCGCTTCCACCCTTGGCTCTGCATCCATCCTCCTTCGTGGCCACTGGAGGGTCCCTTTTGCTGGGGTTTCACCTGGAGCAGCTCGTCCAGATCCAGAGCAATCTGCTTGATTATAATTACGTTCATAGTCACTTCAGAGTAGGTTTCAAAACTGCACTAAGCACAGTGGTGTTGGAATAGCTGGGTAATTTCTGTGGCACATAATACTGCCACAGCTTGCATGCTCATCTCCTACGTCCCAGAGTTTTGTCAAAATGCACTCTTCAAAAAGTGAAGCCTAAAAACCTCATAGTACACAGATTATTTTATTTTTTATCATCAACTGAATAATTTAATACCTGTGTTTGTTCAGCAGGGGTTGTGAATGGGCGGCTGTGGAAGCAACTCACGATGACAGGCTCTGAGCGCCGGGCAGTGCTGCCTGTGTCGGGTCAGCGCTCTCCTCAGTGCCTGGGACAAACGTCGCATTTACCGGCGGATCTTTCAGCAGCAGGACAGCACGGTGAAAGGCAGCCCTGTCAAAATGACTCTGCTGCCACAGAATCTGAAATCTGATTTATTAATTAAATCATATCAGCAAGTGCTCTGGTGGTTGAAATATGCCCCTGTTCAGTGAGAAAAAAGAACATGACAGAAATGTTTACAGGATGCCTCACCCCCAAATTTCCTGTAAAGGACACAGCTTGTTATTTTTCAAAACATGCTGGATATATTTTCTTTACATCTTGGTTTATTGTGACCCATGGGAATGATTGTAAAACTGAAACATGTAAGAACGATGGGGAAAAAAAATGGACTACACAGGAGGAGCTCGCATATCCTGTGAGCGTTATCTGTCCTATGGAAGGACAGGTCGGAAGACATTTGGCCAGCTTTTCCCCCAGAGGAACACATACTTAGAAATAATCTTCGCTTAAACACTTGTCAAGTCATTTTTCAATGGTATTTATCACACTAAATGACACACAAAGAGAAATAAAGCCCCCAGTGGCCCAGTCCCCTCATACTGCTGCCATTGCCTTCGGAGGGGCCTGTGCGCAGCCCCTGGCTGCCTGTCCTCTCTTGGAGAGCGTTTCCTGGGCTGCTCCTCCACTTTTGTGCCACCCATTAAGCCTTCTGCTGACAGGATCCCCACCTGTGATGGCCACCGTGCGGCTCACGGTGTGGTGTAGGCCCTGATGGCTGCTCCCCACGGGGAGCACAGCCCCGGGCCTTCAGATCATCATTCCCGGTGCTGGGCTAACACCTAGACCCCAGAAAGCCTCCCTGCAATTGTTCCATGTGGTTTTGTCTGGCTTTTATTTCCCTCTCCTTGTTTCTGGTCATTCCTGCCTTTCAGCTTTGAGGGCATAATGAGAAGTCAGCATGAACGCCACCCCTGCTGCCTGCTGCCCACGTGAGGACACAGCACCAGCACCCTTTCCAAATGTCCTCTCGACAGCCCTCCATCAGAAACCACAGGAGTATCGCCCAGCGACTGTGTGGTACTTCCACACCCCGCTGGACACGAACGCTTGGCTAGACGATAAGCCGGGCCTTGGTGGAGCTGGCACAAAGCACCCAGGCGCCAGACCCTGGGGGAGCAGATGGCTTGCCTGTTTGCTTCCAGACATTGAGGCTCCAAATCTGTGCCACATCCCTGCCCCAGATTCACATCAGCTGAACTGCCTCCCGTCAGATTGCTGCTCCTGCCTGGCGGGACAGCTCCAAACCCTGATATCCACATTTTATAGCTCATTTCGAAAAAAAAAAATAAAAACAGGTCTTCTAGAGTTTAAGACGCTTTCCCTTAGCTAGAAAAATGGGGCTAATAGTTCCCTGCCTCGCTAGAGAGGCCAGCTTTAAGTTTAGTAGCTGCTTTTAGAAAATACTTGGGATTTTTTGGGCAGAGGGCTTTGTGTTGGTACTTCTGGCTATCGCTGCTGTCCCTAGGGATGAGGAGCGTCTGCGCCAGGCAGGGTAAGAATAGCAACAGGGGACTGATACCGCGCTCGCGTGCAGGATGGGCGAGGTGAATGCCATCTCCCTTTTGTCTCCCTTCATAAATCAACTCCTTCTCTCTCTTTCTTCAGATTTTCATAAGGAGTGGCATTTTTCACCATACAGGAAACGGGTGAAGTATCTCGAGTGATTGGTCCCACATCCAGGGAGTTCCAGCTCTTAAAACCAACCGGTAAGAGTTTTTGGGCCATCGTTTCCTCTCAACAGAAAGGATTTGGGATTTTATGCATAACAAACGTTTCGGTCCACGTTGGCCAGAAAACTGCCAAGCAATGTTCTATATATTTGTTTCTATGGCTTTAGGCAATTTTCATTTCAGGAAAAAAAAAACTGCATAGTACACACGGACAGACAAAATGCCTAGTGGAGAACAGCTCAAGAAAAAACATAATTTTACCTCAATAAAAGGTAAGATAACTTGGCTGCTTGGCAGTGCAGGAACACTGTGGGTGCCTGGAATTCGCTTCTATTGTCCCCTATCTGAATTGCTTTGAAAAAGGTCACATGAGGAGGAAAGGAAGTTTTGACTTTCACATGCCTGTTATTGCTAAGGAAACCACTTCCTTGGTATTCACATATTCAGCATGTCTCCAGTTTTGGCTCTCTGACAAATGACATCGTGCTACTGCATCAAGTAACAAAGAAGGGTGGAGAATGCTGTTAGATAACTCGACGTGTTTTAAACACCAGTACAGCTTTTGTAGGGCTGCCAAGCTTCAAGTACACTCCAAAAGAGCAAGCGGGGGCCTTTTTTAGCTGCAAATGAGATACCTGGAGTTCAGAAGGACAGAACAAAGATTCTGGTCTGCATCTAACCAAGCTCAGGTATTTCTGAGGTTTATTGGGTTTGTAGCTTTGGCAATGTTCTCACACCGCTGTAGATATTTGGAGAGCAGTTTTGTAACAGAAAAATACCTGAATTATTGCCTTTGTAGAATTTATTCTAGCTTTCAGATATATCCTTACATTTTTTTTAGGCTTTCAGATATCAGAAACTGAGCATCTGAAGATAACATCTGGTAATTTCATTAAGAGATTTGTATTTGAACCTTGGGTCCGTGGGACTTTTCCCATTTTTCTGACTTCCACGTCAAGCAAGGGAACAGCAGGAGTGACAAGCTTCAGTTGGTTAGGACTGGGAACCTCCACCAATGTTTATTTTTTAAGAGGAATGAAGCAAATTTTCTTTGAAGTAACATATTTGCAGATCTCGATCTGACAAGAAGGAAATACATCATGATTAGGCTGATTTCTGCTTTACGAGGAAAAGAAGTCTAGTGTGCTTCAGGCTAGAAGCGACTTTCACTGTAAATATACAACAGTTGCTGAGATTACTGGGAACAAGCATGAAGCACACACAAATCAAAGGAATTGAACAGCTAAAGCCCTGCTCAATTTACTGAGAGGCTACTATGCTTCTGGTATGTCAAGATCTATTTGTCTAAACGTTATCGGTAAAAACAACATAATGTAGTGAACTGAGCCTGGGACTGCGGAGGCCAGAAATCAATATTCTGATCTTGGCCCTGCCTCAGATGCACGCGGTGGCCCCAGAGTAGCTGTTTAATCTCCCTGCGTGCTCACCAGAGATAAAGCAGCTCAAACACAATGAACTATCTCCTCCACCGAAGAGTTGCGCAGAGCAGCTCACAGCTTCCGTGTGCTTCTCCGAAGACGTGAATTGTTACAGAAATATTAACCTCACCTGCGAGACTTCTCCACGTTTGTCTCCAGGAAAATATAAGCCGTGTGTCTTTGGAGCTGAAATTTCAGGTCCGTTCTCCACTAGAAGACCTCGCTCCAACCCCTTGGAGATTCCAGACGCAGCCTGGTGGCAGCACAGAAGCCACCTGGGTATCTGCCACGGTAATGGCCTTGTTTTATTTTTTTCCTTCTTAAACACATTAAAACTGAATTATTTAAGAAATGTTTCGGCTTTTTTTCCTCAGAGAACATCCTCATTTTCTTTCTGTTGGTGGCAGGAATAGAAGCTACCTCCTCAGAAGTTACTGGCTTAATGCAGAAATAACAGAGAGAAGCACCTATACCTATGGCCTCTTTATTTGGGAGGTAAGACTATGTTTTAAAATACTTAAAATCATGCTAGATTTCATGTTCCATTGGCTTTTCATCATTTCTGACTGATCAGCTCACTAGGGCCTTAGCTGAGCCACACTCATTGCCAGGGATCTCAGAGGGGATACCTGAGGTGAGACAGAAGACTCTTTTTGTGGCTTTACTCAGGAGATTTTACCAGTCTTGTTTGTTTTTAAACCAAACACAAATTATCTTCTGCAATACAGGACAGGAGAGAAGTATTGGCTGTATCCCTCCTCCATGAAGCAAACGAGTTCCAGGTATGGAGGACACGAGAGCACCCGTGACCCAGGAAACCGTGTTTTCCAGCCCAAAGGAGAGGAAGTTTCTTAATTACTCTAGAAACTGCTTCTGAATGGGCATTTGGGAATTGCTGAGAAAAAGCAAGTGCTAAAACGGTAAGGTCTGTATTTACTGTGTGTATTAGCTTTGCACTCGTTAGTACCTGTGGAAATTAGTGGTGGCTCTGGGTTTCGTCTGCCTTCCTAGCCAGCCCTGGTGGCTCTGCTGCTGCAGGCCATGGCCAGCAATGCCCCAGCCCTGCAGAAGGGCGTGCGTTACCACCAGGAAAGCCTGGAAACACTCAGGGGGGCGAATGGGGGCGATGCGGTGAGGGCAGCCGGGTTGCTAAGCGCAGGGGCAGCTATGCAGGGCAGGGCAGAGCCACGCAGCCCAGAAGCAGCTGAGCATTCAGCAAGCTGCACGCTGCCGTGCGTTTCCATAGCTTGGGCTGGAGCAAAGCCCTAGCAGGGAAGGGTCAAAAGTGCAGCGCCGGAGGGCTGAGCCCGGGCTGCCTGCGCCCTAAACCGGCAACGTCCCCGGCAGAAAAAGGACTTAACGGAGGAGCTGCAAGGGTACAGATGTGCCCCCAATAACCCGAGAGCGGGGAGCGTGTTGGAAAGGAAAATGAGATTCCCCTCGCTCTTGGTTTACACCTCTAAAACCAAGCGAGTCTTTGCTCACCCTTATCTGCGTGATCTCAGATTCCTTTACGTGACTCATTTGACACCTACTTATTTCCCAGCATACGCATTTAACTGTTTCCCTCGGCATCCTTTTGCTCTGACAGCGTCTGAGATCAGCGTCCTGCTTTCCCCCATTCCTTCCCATGCCACACTCTCTGTCCTTACCTTCCCCCTCTCATTAGGGAAGGCCTTTTGAATGCTCAGAGATGCTGGCTGTGGACAGGCCAGCCCATGTCTGATTTCACTTCCTCTAGTGCAATCACGGACCTCAGTGACTGCTCTTTTAATTTAGACTGACGTAACCAAGATTGAAATCTGTCCCACAGCAAATATTTATCAGAGCATATCAAAGAAAAAGCGTACCAAAAGAGGAAACAAGCAAAACAGCGAGTGCCACTAAATTTTGCCAAGATAGATTTCAAAGTCAGTGAAAACCACCCCAGAGACAGCTAAAACATAAGACAAAGTAGCACAGTGAAAAAAAATAAAAGCGTATTTCCGAGCAGTGACGCCCTACATCTCCCAGAGAACATTTTTTACTTGCTTATAACTAGCAAAGATTGAGAAAAAAGGCCCGTACAGAACTAGCACCGCAGGAGTAAGGTCGATGCTCGCTGCTCCGCCGCCTCAGTTAACAGCTTCGCCTTGATACGTGCGCCAGTCGCTGCTACCTGCTCAGCTCAGGAGCCCTTTCTGCGGAGCATTAAGGAAAAAAAAAAAAGAACATACACAACTGGCTTTATGAAGGGTGTAAAATAACGGGACGCCACACTTTAATTAGATAATTAAAACTCTGTTGCTGCTTTGCTACATGCCAAGGACACTCAGTTTCTTGGCAACAGACCTCTAATTTTCCTCCTTTGATATCCAGGTCACAGCCGTTTGAATTAGAGGCTCGTTTCCAGCAGCAGTGCACGACAACGGCACACAGCTTCCCGTCCTGGTGCAAGTATTTATTCCCCTGAAGTTCAGTGGCTTTCGACTCTGTCAGCTGTATCTGCAATTACAAAAACTGTTAAAGCCCCTACAAAGAGGAATATCAATAGTCACAAAGGCAAGGGGACACCTTTCACATGGAAAAGCATATCTGAAAATGAGTTTCTGATGAAAATGAAATTGAAAACAGTTTCATCCTCACCTCTCCAGTTTCTTCAAAAGTTATCCCTAAATATTGTTATCATCCCACCTTCTTATGGGGAAGGAGAGAAGAGGTCTGTCTGATGGACAGATTTCATGGGGAAACTGCATACATTTCGGGTGAGCTGTGCCTCAGGCAGCCAGCTGGAAGAAAAGCCCCCAGCCCTAAAGCACTGCATAAGCTGCCAGTGTTTGGGCTGTGGAGCAAACTCCAGGCAGGCTAAGGATGATCAAACATCCCCAATCCATGTGCAAGGGACACCTCCTCATCCCTACCCGTGCTTCAGCAGGGAAGGCGTAAGAGCACACGCGTATTTTTGACAAACAGATGCTTTTTCACAACACGGGAGTACAGAGCACGCTCCCAAGGAGCTGGTAAGAGAACAAATCACACAGAGCAGATGGCAGTCCCACTGCTTAATGCACTGTTGGAAGGTGCCCAGCTAGCCTGGTGATGAGTGATACAAGAACCTATATAGAATAATGCTCTTTGTTAAGCACCAGCTATTTATTACATTATATTCCTAAGAACAGCTGAGGTGAATTAACCACAGTAACCATACACTGCTCCGACAGCCCTGCAGTATCCGTGCTGCTGCCGTGGCTGATGGCACCTCCTGGGCAGATGTGAACCCGTTCAAAGCTAACCCTAAGCCAGCTGCCCAGGTTTGCGTACCGCCAAACCCCAACAAACCGCTCCGCAGGTGCGTTACCGTGTGCTTGCTGCTACTCTAACAGGTTTTGAACAACTTGGAGCTTGCCCAGAGCAGGCTGCATCCACTCCGACGGCGTAACAAAACCGCAGCTTGACAATGCTGCACCAGCTGCTGTGCTATTTAGTGGGGCAAGCACGCATCTCCACAGCTACTTCGAGTAAAGGAACGGTGACCATGCTCTCTGATCTGCTCAAAAGCAGGTATAACACAAGGTTTTTGTATTCGTCTCTTTGTAAAGCCAACATCCACGCCTCCATATTATCATTTAGCTCTAAACACATCCAAGTTCCATTCTTCTTCATTAAAAAGTCATTAAGCAATTTCATCAAACGCTGCTGCAAAGTGAGATGTGCTAGGACTCACAAATTACATTCTTTATTGTCTGTCCTAAACTTAATCTGGTTCTAGGGACAGGTGAGGTAAACAAAGTAGAAGCCTGACCACAAAATCTGGATTACCTTGATATTCTGGCAACGAAGCTAAGACAACACCACTTTCTTCCGGAGAACAGCCTGTCCCTGTAAGCCTGGTATCCCACACACAAAAACAGAAACATTATTTTTTGCTCAGGCTATTTCCCTCTGATGATGAGCACATCTTAAACACTTTTATTGTTTCATAACCAGCTAGTGATCAGGTAGCAGCCATCTTCTGCATTATTTCCTGTGGAACAAGGTACGTGAGTACTCCGTGGCTGTTTTGCAGAAGCCATCTATCCCTGAACTACCACTGCTCACATTCAGTCACCTGCAACATCTAATAAAACGAGGATTAAAGTAGAAGGGGGGTCAGAGAGACTTGGCAACCTTACCATTCTGTATGAGCCAACTCAATAACGTGGCTCATTGTAGTTGGGATACAGGTATGAGCAGTTTCCAAACCGAATTTAAGATTTTTGCTATGTTTATTTGAGTTATCTTACAAAGGGAACATTCCACAGTATGCTGGCATGCCATACATACACATTTGGTTTCAAAGGAAACCAAAGACATGACATCAGCTAAAATCCATAGAATTATTACAGTTTCAACACAAGAATAATCTAGTTAAGTCATAAAACATGGGAAAAATTAAATATTTTTGCTCTTTTTAATTAAAACAATGCAAAATCTTAATGAAGAAACTGTAATGGAAAGAGGCAATGCAGAAAGTCGATTCTTTTTCAAAAAGAAAATTCCTCCAGAAAATGGTTGACTTCACAAAAGAAACTTGTTACAAGAGGCAGTTTTATTTGTTACAGTGCAATTTGCTTTCATCACTTGATTATAGATCATCATTTTCCAGTTAATCTTCATTTCTCTTATTTGGACAATAAGGCGCTCATCACCTTGTATTTGCTTAGCAAAGACTGCTGCTTTATTTGTATTTATAGGAATCATGACCTTTGTTATTACTGTTCCAGATATTAAGGCTGTAATATATTCTTCCTGTTAACTCTCCACATCTACATCAAAATATTATAGCATTGTTGCATTCTGTTTTTTTGTTGTAGGCCTGACGCCAATGAATGGAATAAAATAAGACTCCTTAGAAAGTGTCACAGTTCCCAATTCTAGAGAAAAGCTATTTCTTTAACTTCATTATTTTCTCCCCAGAGTTACCCCAAGCCTGTGACAGTGAGTTAGTCTTACCTCTTTACTGCTGCTTGATGATTTTTCCCTGACAGTAAGCACTTTGTTATTATGGGATGGCTGCTCAAGAGACATGAAGAGCCATGTCACTTTCAAAATTCAATTTTTAGTTAATAAGTATTTATTTCTTAAATCATCTCTGAAGCAGTGTCTGACAACAGGGGTGGAAAGGAGTTCCTCTGATCCTGAAACTTAGGCTCCCTTTAAGGTAGAACTGAGGCATGCTGACCAAGAAGCCCACAGCCCTCTACTTACTGACCGTTCTTTTTCATATTTAGAAAAGGAGGATCTCTTGACTGTGTGCAGGTATCAGTAAGCACTACACACGTATATCCATGACAACTATGTCCACGTTTCATTTTGATGAATTCCTGTGAAACAATCAAAAGAGTGCAGATCTTGAAAGAAAGATTGAATTGTCATTGTCCTCCAACAGAAACTGGAGTTCTTCATTCTTCCTTAGTCAATGATTCTTCATTCTCAGAATCCCTCGCTTCCAGACGCAAGCACTTCATCAACAGATTTTGTGTGCCTCTCCCCAGCATAAATCCCATAATGCAGCTCGTCATCCTTTACAGTAGCCCAGGACATCTCCTTGGTGGAGAACCTTGCTGCCCACTCTCCTGAATTGCTAACGACAATAACACCTCCCAGGCCCCCAACTCGAGTCTTCATGTAGTCTAATGCAGTGTCAGCAGCCATCTCTGGTGACATTCCTGAAAAGGAGAACAAGGTAACTTCCCAATACCTGTCTCGAAATAAATTCTAAAATTCCCTCCAAGTTTCACACCCTCCCGGTTGGAGCCAGCCAAATCTAATTCCTCCTTCAGCTAAACTGGCCAGAAACTTCCACTGCGGTAAAGGAACTGGTTTATAGGAAGGTGCTGGACAGTTGCAACTAGCTGCTATGGTATGGTTCTGCTGCAAAGACAGGGTTTGAATAGCTTCAGATTACACTTCACTTTCAGTATTTGATACTGACTAATTCGTCAACTCGATGGTCAACACGTAACATTTTTTATGCCATCATCTGAAGGGAGAAAGGCCCATCTGCACGCTTGCTGTCAAACTACCTCCCATACGCTAGGTCTAAGGCATTTACAATTTGAAAAGACAAAAAAAAACACACATTAAAACAATCAAAAATGTCAGTCAGCATCTGTGTTCCACATCTACTGGCCACACTGCAGCCCAAAGCATGTACTTCACATTTCTGTAATCAAAATCTGCATCAAAAACAGAGACTGGCGTTGCTCTGAACTTCTGAAAGTATCAGGCAAGATTAAGATGAAATGTACTTGATGTCAGAAAGCACCAGCAAAGCGACTTTATCTTTTCATTACACTTAATTCATATTAATGGGAATACTTTAGACATAAATCTACGTTACTGTGTATATTATACACACAAGCCTGTAAGAGCTGCAGAATATTTGCTTGCTGCAAGTCTGCATACACAATCGGTAACGTTATGCAGATTGCGATGCGGAATACAAAATGACCTTCACATCTTCCCTGCAAATTTTGAGTTAAACAAAACCAGCAGAATCAGAATTATTCACAGCACTGGTGACTGACAGGATCAAGCCCCATTCTGTGTCATTATGGGCAACGCTGGGACTATTCAAGTCAGTGGCACTGACTTCAAAGGGTCAGTATTTCACCGTTTGATTTTTCATCAAGACAACAGCTGCCGCCATAAGGCGGAGACTCCAGCAGCCATCAGGACTGGCAAAGCACTTCACTCATAAAATAAGAAAATAAATGTTGTAGCAGTGGTCCCAAAAGAAGGTATTTACTGCGTGAATTACTGAACAGCTGAACAGAATTATGGAAGAGCTCTGAAGTTATTTTTAAATATGCAACTTCAGTTGACCGTTCAAGGACTCAAAAAGTTATGATAACTTGGGAGATTATTTTCAGTGCCTTCATGGAAACATTAAAAAAGGAAAAAAAAAAGGCCTATTGCTGACGTGTTTTCCTGGGAACTCTGTTATACTTCTGGGCAGCATGAATGAAGGTAGAGCAAGTGCTGGCAGCAGGGTGAACCAGTGCAAACCAATTACTCCTTTTAAGCACGCACACATGTGGATTGTTGTTTTCTTTTTAATTTGCCCTGTTTGCATGGTGCATCATGAGCCAGACAGTTACTATCAATGCAGAGGTTTTGCAATGCAGTTAACTTCAATCAAGAGAAGAAACTGGTTTCTGTGGTTTAGAGTAAATAGAGCTTAGAAAGCCATTCACAAATTGAATGGCAAGGGATGTAACATGGAGAGAAAGGGGAGACCGCGATGTGTTAGAGCTTTGGGAAGTAATCCGTAGGTTGTATTTTATGCTGAAACTATAACATGACCCAAGAGATTTACAGAGAAATGCATCCATTGTATATGCAAACAGCTCTATAAAGCATAATAAAAACACTCTCAGCTGTTAAATCGCTCTCTACTTATTGTTTCTCTCACAAAAATGTAAATTGAAAGTTCTGCAACTATTTCCAGTTCGTCTGGTCTCGAAGCCGGTTACAGCGTGCTGCCCCAAAGCCACGGCTTTCTAAAAATACTGCTGATATCTATATTGATGGTTCTTCAATTGCATGCAATGCAAGTATGTTGTCTGGCAATGTTCACAGGCTGTAATATAATCAAGGGGTTACATGGCTGGCTAGATCATGAAGGTAAAGCTCCACGGGGTCATCCCACAGGCAGATTGTGTTACAGTCACAGAAGACATACTGTGTCAGCTGTTTGCCACATACCCACTCCGTCAGTTTAGTAGATTTTCCAAAACAAAACGAAAACGTAAATCATAGTTAAAACGTCTTAAAAGCATTTCTGTTGCTATAATCAGTTGTTAAAACAAAGGCTGTTACAGCTTACAAGAAAGGTGATATTCCAAGCTTTCTGATTTCAGTTCTGATTTTTTTTTAGCTCTAACTCTCCCCTGTTGATTCCTTAAAAATACCTCGTCTTTGTTTTTTTTTAATTAGTTCAAAACATTTTAGTGTAAAATAGAAAAATAAATATTTAAAAAGCTTCAGTTAAACATTACAAGGTAGACAATAATATATTTTAATATACATTCATCTAAAAGCAATTAAACATCAAGTAGCATGGATATTTCTGCCCACTTGTGGTTATACTATACTCTAGTACTTTGTTTTGTTTCTTCTAAAGAGAGGTGACCCATCCACACGTGCCTGGGAGCAGCTCCTTTGACAACTGTTCTGGGATGACAGCACATAATCTGCAACCTGTCATTAGGCAGGAATAATTATTCCCTATCCCCCTCAGGTCAGCTCACAGGAAGTTTGGAGTATACCTTGTTCCATGTGATACAGGATCAGTCTGGCCAAGACCACTTTCATAATGCTCTCTCCATGTCCTGTGGTTGAAGTGGCACCAGAACAGTTATCAGCATAACCTCCGCTTCCTTTTCAGAGGAAAAAAAAAAAAGGCAGTATTTTATAAAATACAATTTACAAGCTCTGCATTATTTAAAATACAAACCAAACTTTTCTTCCTAAGGGTCTGGAAGTTCTGCTCACTTCTGGGAGCAAAATACTGAAGTGTCCTCTCATTTCTGCCTCACTTTCAACACAGAACATACTGAGAGAGACCAGCAATGGCCAGATGAAGTTCAATTGCCAAGTTATGAGAACTGGAAGATTAGTGATCTGGTTGTAGCGTAAGAACCAGGATGGGGGAAAATATTTTCCGAAACAGCAAGGAGCTGTACATTGAGGATCAGCAGGACAGCAATGGGATGCAGAATGCCAGGTCACATGTTACAAAAAGAGAAGGAATGAAGGAAGATCTTGTCAGGACAATGATAAGTGACCAAAATTTGGGGGGGGTGAGGGGGGAGGATTAACTGTACGAGCGAAATTAGATCAGTGATTTGAAAAGCCTGGGCTCTGGTGAAGCATCACAAGGCACCCTGAAGAGTAAGTCCAGTCCTCCCCACAAGCAGAGTATTTTTTTTCCTTTGAAATCCCACTTTTTTTTTCCCCCCATCCTTGTTTTGCTGGCACACTCCACACCCTGTTCAACACCAAGCTTCCACATGCTCAACACCCATGTTTCCAGCACATCTCCTAAGCATCTCCTACGAGAATTATTTCCCAGGAGCTGGGGAGGTGCACACCGCAGAATTACACGGATAAACAAAGTAGCATGGGAGGGGAAAGAGGTGTAGAAGAGCAATGAAAGCTTCTTCCCTTTCCTACCTTCTTGATCAGATCAGCACTTTCCATCAGGCCGTGATTTACACGTGGAAGAACAGCGCCACAACCAGCCTGTCGACCCCCCCTTCGATAGGCTCAAACATTTAAAAGCACAGCTGGCGTTCCTCTACCCAATCCTGCAGACCTCCAGTAACAACAGAAGTTGAAAGCAGTGCACTGAGCAGTGCCCAGTTTCACTTCTCCCTCACAGACATTTCCCATACTGTAAGTGCCCTGAACATGACCTACCTAACAAAGGGCATCTGCAGTCAGAAACGCAGTTGAAAATGACATTCCAAATACCGAGGGCACCAGAATATTAGTAACTTTGGGTGTGAGAAAAGTTAGTATTAGTCCTATAAAATCATGTATGCCAATGGCAGTGCTATTTGTGTGTGGAACATGTTTTACTAAAAATAATCATTTTCCAAATCCCAACTCAGCGGTATAACTCTGAAGTAATCAAATAGCAAGTCTGTCCCATGAGAGGAACAAGTCTGGGGAAGGGATTTCAAGTGTCTCTTTATACTTGGATAAGAGAGCTCTTAAAATATTTCTCTTATTCTGCACCGCCTCTGTTAGGCTCTGAGGCAGCCTTATCGGGGCTCTCTAAGAACAGGAATTTATTCAAAGTTGCCAGACATCCCGCAGTTCTGGCTCACTGATATAACCCTAATTACAACTACACGTACTTTAAGCATCCAGAAAACAGCACCTTAGTGTGGAGCAGGCTACATTTTTGCCTTAACCGTGAGCAAGGATGTACAAATGGATAGCCTTATTAGAATGAGCAAAAAAGAGACACAGAAAAAAATGTCAGAGAAGGATGGAAAAAGAAGTGACCTCCCCATTTTCCAGACGGAAAAATTTTGGATGAAGATGACAGCACCACACCTCTGCTCCTAATCCCTATATGCAAACTCTACTTTGTATTAAGGAGCTTCAGTTTTAACACCGAAGTCAGGCCTCCATTTCAGATACATCACTATTTCTGTTTTATTTCACTAATAACAATGAGAATGATATATTTATTTATTTTTTAAAATGAGGTATCTCCAAAAAACATGAGGCAAGTCCCCACACCGCATACCTATGCATGCTGTGTCACCAACGCGGCCAACCAATTTATTGGAGAGTCCTCCAGTGGATGTTGCACAAGCCACGTTTCCTTCACTGTCTATAGCAACAGCACCGACTGTTCCAAGGTCTCTGCCAAGAAAAACAGTTCACAAAATTAGGTAGAATTAAAGCCTACTTGCCAAAGCACGTTGCATTTATCTTCCAGGTAGCTTTAAAAAAAGATTACTGCAAAAAATTACGGCTCATCATAAAGCCATTTTTTTTTACTATGCTCCTCATTACAAAAATAACCACCAATACACAACAATTCTCACAGCTCTTTATTTAATAGCACAGAAAGCACTTGATTTTTTTTTTCCCTTAAAATCTGATCTCCCTCCATGACTTGTTTACAATCATAGCATGGAAATTTCAACGTGAGGCAAAAAAAAAAAAGGCACAACACACAATCACACAGGCCAGAAATATTTCTATCACAGATCCGGAGCAGCTTTTTGGCTGTGACACACCTGATGCACAACTTGCCCCTAAACAGGGGCTCAGAGATGCAGGAATCATGTCTCCACTGTCTGACTAGGCAGTGAACTGGAGTTATTAATGACAACGCCCGTAAACAAGTAAATACAGAGAAGAGAGCAACGTTATGAATGCTTTTGAATCATTTCCTTCCTGTTCCTCCTCTTTCCTTTTCCTTATTCCCCTAAATGTTTGAATGCCACAGAAAAAAAAAAAAAAAAAGGTTATTTATGTGCCTTTCAGCTAGCATTGTTCATAATGCATCATTAATACATATTTTCCTCTCTGTACTTTGTAGCTAAGCAATCTTGAGATTTAAATCACTTGGCCAGTAGAATCTGTCGAAACAGCAAACCAGCTTAACAATCTTCATGCAGCTGAAGAAAAATCTCAACTACTGCCTGATTTCTAATAAGGTGCTTAAAATATACACATATGTTCATGCCTGGAGAACAAGGGCTACTGTAACTTACTCTAACAGTTGCTGTACTGAGAAGCAACAGTTTGAGTGTCAACATATTCCAAGCCTGGCAATTCATGCAGGAACGTAGGACATTATTTAATTAGGAGAGGTATACCCCAAAAAATACAAGTCCCTCCACAAAGGAAAAGAACTTGTGCCAGTCCTTCAAGGAACTACCCAACAGGTGAGTGCAATAGGAATACCTTTAGAAATTGCCCGGGCATTGGGGAGGGTTTCTCTGTAACCCCAAAATCTAAGTTAAGATCAGACAAAGTTAGAAAAAGTCTTTGTGTATGATGAAACTTGATTTCTCACAGAATCAACTTCCTGTTCCTTCCTGCTTATGTAAAAGATCACACTGCCAGTCCCTACACTTCATTCACAGCAACTCCAAGTCGACTGATGAATCACAGGCCTCACAGACTGCTCTGACATTTAGGTGGAGACGGACCTCATCTCAAACTGATATGCTGCTGCAGATGGGCTTCCCACCCATCCATCTGGTACAAAAGATTTGCTGAAGAGAATATTGGTAAATTCAGTACTCCCTGCACACACACGTAGCGCCCTCCAACCTACCAAAGTTAGATCTTCCGGAGGAATTAAGAAAGGCACGTCCAGATGTACGTTTTCCAAGGGACATGTTCACCTTAAGTACCCGTGAATAACAAAAGTACGCTGATCAGATATGCAGCAGGTAACCATTTTGGTACAAGGGCTCAATCAGAGATAACTAACTAAGTAACTAAGTGAGTGTATCCAACTTAAGCTGTTGTGGAGCAAACACTCAACTATTTCTCACTGTTCCTTTCAACTTTTTTTTTTTTTGTTTCAGTGTCACATGTTTTCCTTGTTCATCTTCAGAACAAAGGCAAGGAAGATATAAACAATCTGTTGCGTAGCTGGTTGACTCAGAAGCATTTACAAGGCCCGCAAAACCGTTTAAGCAGAGATATCATATTATAATCATATGTCTGATGCTAATTACTAACAGTAGCAAAAATATCAACGCGTACCTGTAGTATACTAGGGGGTGCTATTAGCAGTAATGGTTTTGTTCTATCAATGATTATTCTTACATACTGCATATATAATGATACACAATGGATTTGTTCCTTCCTTTTGGACTAAACCTGTCATTATCCAATACCCACGAAGTTGCATGCGCTTAGATTAACAAGCTCAAGGAATAAAACACCTGCTACTTCGTCTCTTAGGCTTGCATCAGTAGTAGGGTTTTCTATCAGCCTCTGTTGCTGATGTTTGTGGGGACTGCCTGTCAGGAAAAAACAGCGCGGCTAAGTCAAAAAACAGCCTCAAGCTGTCCAGAAATACACAAACCTTCCAGGTACTCCAGAACGAGACAATGCTGAAACTGAAGATGCCTAACGCTGTTAATTATAGGAAAGAAATCTAAGCAGCTATAAGGAATGAACAGAGACTCAGATGCCATGCTTCCAACTGCTATCTTCAGGAGGCCAAGTGACAGTGGCAGCTACACCATCCCCGGAACTCTTGGCAATGAATTCTAACAGTACACAGAACTTGGATACCACACGGATCAAAAAAACTTCTGTTGGATGCTAGATGAACTATGACAGAGACCTTACGGTCAAGGAACAACTTCATTTTGGTTACAAGACCGTATTTACAACACTTACCTCATGGTGTTTTTTGTTTTTTTATTATTATTATTATTCTTTTAGCAATTTAATGAAAATAACATATAGCTTCTATATTATGGCCCTCATTTTGTGGAATTTAGTTAACATGCAGAAAGAAACATCACAGAAGAAACATCATCCTTCTAATCTACGAATTCTTCAGCTCTGCTTCTCTCCTTACTACCACTTCACCGAACAGACGAGCAGCAGTATGCAACCCAGCATTTTCCCATGCAACAACCACTGCCATACAAGTGCAAGCTCAAAACAAGTTCGTGTTTATGCTACCTCACAGGCATAACAAACATTTCTAACATCTCACGATTTTCCTTCCTTTCCCATCCACCTTTCCTTCCTCTCTCGTTTGTCATGCACGGCTTGCTTATTTTCCAAATAACTTGCACTTGGCTGGTGTGCAACACCATATGAGAGCATCACTTTACACATCCACTACTACACTGAACGTCTCCGTCAGTTGTTTTCCCTCTTTCCTACAGTAACTAACAGCCCTAATCAGCACTCAGGAGGAGTTACTTTGTCAAAATACGATGTAGTTTAACCACCTAATCCACTTCAAAGACAAAGCTGATCATATACTTAACCAAGACCGGATTTATGATTTTTTTACACGCACTTTGTCATTTTAAATATCAGATTGGAGATATTGTAACTCACAGTTCCTTCATAGAAAACAACTACACAGAGGTGAAGCATGCATGTATCTTAACATTGCTGTATGCACTTCCAGACCTGGTGATTTTCAGAATAATAACAGTGCTAATTTTGTCCACCATTAATACCACGACGCCTGTATTACGTCAAAATGTCTGACAATCTTCTCTCTTGAGCATCACTAAGTTTGTTCAAGTTTATTCTAGTCACTTACACTTGAGCAAATTCACTGAAAGGATTTTGAGTTTTTTTTGTTTGTTTGTTTGTTTTGTTTTTGTTTTTTAAGGACATATCACGAAGACTATATCAAACCACAAATCACTCAGAACTGAAATCTCCTCAGGTCTGAGAACAGACCTTCAAAGCTTTGGGATTGTTTTCTTGTTGTTGTTTTTTGGTTGGTTGGCTTTGTTCTTTTTTTTTTTTGTTTTGTGTTTTTTGGAACTGATACCACAAAGTAAATTGTTAAAAACCTACTTCTGAAACTCTTCAGGGTTGGAGTCCGGCTCAAGGTTCTTCTTCCATCTCTCCAAAGATCTCTGAGTTATGAGTTTCTCCCCTGGAGTCTCAGGAACACCCATGGCTTGAGCAAACAGGTGTGCACCGTGGTCAGTCAGCAGCATGTGCTTTGTCTGCAGAAAACAGGCAAGAGATTAACTGACAATTCTTGTTTTGCCTTATGCTGAGCAGTTTTGTGTTCACTTGTTATTTTTAGAAGTATGTACACCAACAAAATTCCACATCTTATTTTTAAACTTCCTGGATTCCTACTCTTCTACTAAATGAAAAACATATCAGGTCTCCAAAACACACATACATTCACCATTAGTAGAACGGAATTGCATTTATCTATTTAATACTTCTTATAATGGGTAAATTAAAAAAAAAAAAAAGAAAATTTGCTTTTTTGCTAATTTGTATGCAAGTTCTCTGTGCTGTTGTTAGTTAATTACCAAATCACTGCTCAACTGAACAACAGTTTTGTCCAGTTCACTAAGAGATCTAGAAGGATTTGACTCAGAAGAAAAGAAGAGTAAATAAATTCCTGTTCAGTTTGAAGGTATTACACTTTGTAGGAGTAAAGTAACAACAAAATCAGTATCATTCCCTTCAAGCACTTCTTAACATCAGCTCAACCATTTTATTTTCAGTACCTCCTTCAACACGCTAGTATTCTTACAGACCCAGAATTTCATATTTAAGAACAGAATATTGTTCTAACAGGTTTGACAAAAACTTGTTTGCTCTCTTCAAACAACATTTGCACTTGCAGAAACCCTATTCTGGTTCCTTTATTTAGTGAGGCACTTAGACCAGATCTTGAGTCAACAACCTTAGTTAAATTCATGCTTCCAAGTCCTTATGGCTTGCTTAATTCCTGTTTTAGGGTCACTCACCAGAAAAGTTTGTTTCATTAATCCTTATGCTTTAGTAGGAGCTCTAAAATCTATTTATTTTTTTTATATCAGTGTCCAAAACTACGCATCAACTTCCTGGACCACTGCATAGATACTAATTGCTCAGCAGACCTAGGAAGGTTGTAGAGGAGTGGTGGTCTGACAGTACAGTGTTGAGTCATTTCAGAGCACAGCAAGAGCCAAGAGCCTGGCCTTGAACACCTCCAGGGATGGGGCATCCACAGCTTCTCTGGGCAGCCTGTACCAGGGCCTCACCACCCTCTGAGTGAAGAGTTTCCTCTTAACCTCTAATCTACACTACAGCTCTGCACCAACTCCTTCACAAGCTCATGCAAGCAGGAAACGTAACATCACATGAAAAACATTCCTGACTGGCCACTCACGCACGTGGCAGCCCTAATGTCAAACGTCTCGAAGAATTCAATTATCTCTTTACTGACAAATTAATTATTCAGTTCATGAGAGTAGCACCCTAGGGAACAAGAGTACCAGTCACAAGGAGCAAGTCCCTGGAAGAGCAGACGACAGCCTCACAAGCTGCGTGATGTTACCAGACAATAAGAGACCCACCTGTTTGTAACACAGCTGAAGTGTGCGACGTTCAAGAGAACTACTTTGTGCAATGCTGCCCCCCGCCACCGCAACTAAACCGCCAGAAACACAATTCGATAATTCAGATTCTGTTTTTTTATATAAAATACTACTCAACTTTTCTTTTGGCTTGACGTGGGTATAAGAAGGCTTTCTCCTCCATCAGTTGCTTTCGTCAGGAATGGAGGCTTTCTATTACTTTCAAGAAGTTTAAAAAACAAGGAAGGTTTTATTGTAAAAAAAAAAAAAAAAAAAAAAAAAAAAAAAAAAAAAGTTGTTTCTTAAAACATTTTAAAGGGTTCCCTTCCATATGCAGTTTCTGATAATGTACTGCCTCCATGAGTTGCACAAGCAAGAAATATTTGAATATACAAGAACAAAGCTGCTATGATAGTTTTTTTGCAGCTCTCATTGGAAAAAAAAAAGTGCCCTAAGGAGAATTCAATTTATTTTTCTCCTCAATATATGTTGTCCATCGAAAGAGCTACTAGAACATTTCCAAACAACCAAAAAGCACATTTTTCCATCTCATTCTTTTTCTACAGCTTCATGAATATATTTGTTAACTTCCTGAAGCGCCTATTTTCTTCTGGGATGCATTTACACCGAGTAGTCCAAAAGGAAAAAAATAAAGAAATAATAGTTTCCAGAGATCTTAATAACAACCAACAAATGTTAAATATGAGCAAGTTTAGTTAATTTTATGGGAAGCAGAGAGGAGAAAACCCCCCAGACTTCTACAGCTGGCCTGGAATTCAGACCAGCTCTTTATTTCACAAGCTTGGCAGTGCACAGAGCACAGTAGAAGTTTCCACCTTTGTCTTGCGAAGCCGATGTCCTAGCCTAAAGTCTCCTCTAATTTAAAGAGCTGGATGATACAGGAGGGGAAAACGTATACACAGGCAGCTTGTGCACAGCAATGGATCAGTGCTCCACTGTTTGTGTGATGCCCGTGTAAAGAAGTGTTGGAGCTGAGGGGGATTACATGCCCCACTTAAAAAAATAAAGTAATTTCAATGCATCATCCTCTTTTTATTCACTACAAATAGGAATAATTTAACAGAAATTTAACCGCTTTTTCTAGGATTTGTTTGATTAATTAGTTAATGTACCAAGCCTTCCATCTCTAGAGACTAACACGTTCAGTATTATGTATCAGAGTAATATGTGCACTAAGTCACAACTGAAATCATTCTGGTGTCATCCTTTCTTCTACACTCTGAATTTGGGCACGTTTGAGCCCAGTAAGATTGCAACACCGTACAGGATAAACATGCACAACAGTCTAAGGAGCTACTCTGACCACCAGATGGAGCCCATATTGTTCCATAATAGGATAGAAACAAAAAATCACAAGCAGGTGGGGAGGTTTTCTGTTTGCTACTTCTTTAAGGTTTCAGGAGCTGCATGTTCTAAAGTTCCCTGGGGTGGTGATGCATCTCAATACTACTAGGAAATAAGCATCCTAAAACATTTAGGACCTCAGGAAACTCCAGTCTTATCACCTATGGGTCAGAGAGTTCAAAGTATTTTCACTTATTCACAGTAAAACAAAACACATAAAATACACTCTGAGGAGTACTGTGAAACAGGCAGGGTTGGTGTCCCAAAATCCCTGCCTACGACAAACAGCAGGGTGACATCGGCTGGTCCCCCAGTTTATAACACCTGCCAGAAAAACCGCAGAAGCTCACCTCAGGTTATATCAAGCGATTTAGGTTAGCGTTTACATTTTAATTTTGTCATCTCCACAGAATTTATTGCATCTGGCCAAACAGAAATACACTACACCGCAAAATGGAAGTACTTCTCATTTCATGTTTTATTGCCAAACCATTATACTTGGCCTTGTACAGTTGAATTTTATGATTTCCTTTAAAATTTAGCCTCAACACTTCTGAACACCTGAAGCACCATATAATGGCAAGACAGGCCTTAAAATAGATGAGAAAGATAGAGGGCAAGTTTTGGTTTATGTTTTTCATTTGGGAAAACTTTGCCTACAAGGATAAAGTCAAAACAACACTTTTTCTTTGTCAAGAACATTAAAAAGAAAAAAAAAGAAATCTTTGCACAAATTTTAAGACACTTTTGTATTAAATAGCTTAGTGAAAAGTTCTGATTCTGAAAGCAGAACTATCCTACAATTCAGGGCAAAAATAATTCCTATCTCCTTTGGAATCTGTTGAGGACAAATCACATTTCAACCTTCTCTACAGATCACTTTGAGAGGTTAAAAAAACATACCTCCTCTTTGTATGTAAGCGTTCTTGCAACTGCAACCCCTTTTCAATCATGCGGGAGCAGCACTAGCAGCAAGAGAAATGTACGCTGCAAAGCAGGATGACCTTTGTGATCACTGTCACTGTGTAGTGATGGTAAAAGAGACGCTCTTATCACACAAATGGCCTATTCTATCATCCGAACTATACCACCTGCACCACTTCTGAAAAACAACAGACATTTGCTATGGTAGATACTAAGAGGGACTTCTTAGTGGAGTACGGTGGGATGGATGTTGTGCAGAAGGCCAAGTAATCATCATTCTGCTGCCCAGGTAGCTCTGATGCTCTTGGAAAACCTCCATCACACAGTGCCTGTGTTATCTGCTGCTGCTGGAAGACCACGACCTAGCGTTAGGGCTGCTGCCTGAGAAGGTGACAATGGAGAAGGCCACCTAGGATCCTAGGAAACTGGATTTCACAGACAAAAGCATGAGTAGGTCATTAATTCAGTTCCACCTCGTTGCAAAATCACTAGTACATTTTCCAACTTAAATCTTGGAACGTCAAGCAGAAGACTCGGTGACAGCACAGGTGCTCTCCAAATGCACAACCCTCCCTACAATTTTCAGTACCAGCTGTGGAGCTCCAGAAGCTTGACACGTTTAGGTCAATTTCTCCTTGAGGTTCCTTCCAACTGCAAGACTGAACTCAGGTCTCCTTGGAGTGCTATTTTTAATAAATACTTACAATAAAAGTTCTTCACAGTCACTGAGTTTCTAAGCACTACCATCCATTCCCCAGTCTTCCCTGATTCTGATTAAGGAGGTTTCACAACATAACTGAGGTCCATTAATATAGCGGATGAAGTTCTAAGGGAAAAAATGTTTCAAATTCAAGTACACTGTTCAGCATACCTTTTCCATGACAAGCCGAGCTAGTTTTATTGGGTTTGCTATACATTTAACTGCAGATACTGCTCCAGAGGCTAGATTTTTTCCATCCATGATAATGGCATCCATTTCTACTTCACCTTTTTCATTTAGAACAGAACCACAGCCTAAAGACAAAAAAAAAAAATAATAAAAAGGGGTGAGGAAAAAGGAGTTAAGGAAAAAAGAAGAAAGTCGTTAAGAGCTAACCATCAGCTAATTCAATTATTAGATCTCATGAAGCAAACTTTCTCTTTCCCTGATTGTTGTTCTCACACACCGGAAGTGCCTTCTTCCTGAACACAACACAGCAGCTACGCTGCTCAGGGGTGCAATGGCTACTTAAAAACATTGAGTTTTATTTTTATATGACGAAAAACACACTTGAAACTCAAACAAATCATGAATTCAGTCACAAGACAGTACACGGAATGCCAATTGCGTAATGCCAACTAAAATAATATGCTAGGCATGAAATTTAAAACAGTCATAACAAGGCTCTTTATCCCCTAGATCACTTCACACACACATAAAGCTATTTCACCTTCGCAATTCTCCCAACTGTAGGACATAGCATAAGCCAACAGAACGGCATGTTGTTCAGTTCCATCAAAAGATTACTGGCACGCAGCATTCCAAGCAGCTACCAAAATTAGTAGAGCAGAGTAGAAGTGTCCACTCACTGCTGTACCAAAAGCCTGAAAAAACAAGTTCTTCCTCATTGAGTAACAGCAGACAAATGAATTAAAAAATAATAAAAATCATGTAATGAAATGCCGGGTAATTATTTTTCTTCTGTAATTATTAATGCTAACACTAACCGAACTGAAGATTAATGAGATTTAAAAAAAAAAAAAAAAGTGCATTGTCTCATTTTGTAATAACACCAGTAAGTGTGTATCACAGGGAAAGGTGAAGTTGTAAGTCAGTAAGTGCACAAGCCTTGCTAATAGGGCTGGAGAAGACTAAACTTAAACAGAAATTCAAAATGCATGGCAGATTTACAGAGCACCTCAGGTGGAAAGACTCAAACACTGTACAGAAGTAGAACAGTTATTTTGTTTGCTTTTCCTGTTAAACCAACATTAAAGCCCAGCAGAAACTCCTGGTAGTAATTGCTGACATAAGGCTTCCACCTATGCACTTCAGACCTGAAAACATAACGTTAAATCCCCCAGTTACTGGAGGCGACAGGCCTCTGTAATCCTCCTCCCGCCATCTCCAAAACTGACGTAACACACATGCACACCTGACCTCTGCCCCAAACTGTTACTTCTTGCCCCTCTCCAATTGTACGAACTACTCCAGAGTTCAGTCCCACATCGCTCAGAACATGCTCATTTCTAGGCTGCAGCTGATCATGGAGAGCTGACAGGTAACTCCTGCCTGCCACCTGTGCTAAAATCTTTCTTCCAAAATCAACCTTATTCTGATATAAGGAACATGTCATCTTTTGTTTCTTAGATAAGCCCTGCCATGTTCTGCTAGTTCCCTTTGACAAGGTGAGCCCTTGCTCATGCTCACAAAATTCCCCCTAGAACTGGGGTGCATCTTCCTCAAATACCAGTGATCAGAAGCAGGGGCCCAGGGGAAGCTCCACCAGCTCCTCTCATCGCTGCATCGCAAGTGGCTGCTGGAGATCTCTCACGGGATACACCTTGGGATTTCCTAAATGTTCCTGAGCAGAAAACTGTCAGGCAGTTCCTGCAGCCGCCTGCAGCAGACTCCGTTTGCAGTCAGTGGTTCGAGACTGGCCTTTCTCCTGCCTTCCAGCACCCTGGGTGGGGGCTACCTGCCTCTGAGGCATCCACTGGCAGCAGCACTGGGGAGAAAGATTGGCTCCCTTGTGAAGCAGAAGTCAGGGAAGAAAACTGAGACAATAAAATATGGAAAATTTACAGGGAGACAAGTGTGACGTTACCAAAAATCACAGCAGGGGTGCTGAGATTCCATCTATCTACAGACCACACAGTCCTGCAAAGGCTGAGGAGGAAGGAGTGAGAGGATTAACGTCCTGGACTGGCAGCTCTTGTACCTGGCATACACAGACCCAGCTGGATAACCCTGCTAATTGCCAAAGAGACGGCTTGCAGAAGTGTAGCCCTGGCCACTTCCCAGAGAATATGACAGTGACAGCAAACCCCATTTTTACTTTATAGGGGTAAATACCACACGTTGAGTTTTAAACATCCACTCCAATCAGGGCCCTCTTCGCGTGGCTGTCAGCTCCCTTTTGCGAGCTCCTGAGAGCAGCTGTATCTAATGAGCATCGGCACAATTAGAGGCATACGTAAGTGATTACAGGACTACTTGCCTCTTGGATCAGCACAGGCAAACTTAAACAAGGGCTTAAGGCTCGAGTCCAATCTAAGCAAATTTTGCTAAAAATTGCTCGTTTAATCTACCATAAACAAGGTTTAACTGTTGTTAGTGCGGGTTGAAGTAAACACCCTCACTGCAAAAATATAATTTGGATGAATTAAATAATTAAGGATAAATGTAACCTTGGACCACTAAGAAGTCAATCACAAACATACTTGCAATTTGTATGTCAAGAAAATGTGAAGTAACAACCATCTAAGCAGTCACTGGCTATGGCAGGGTCTAAGATCCTGTCCTTAAATGATCTGATCATTTTTTAAGGAGCAAACCCTGCCTGAAGGTGTAAATCAGGGGCTGCACGCTACAGGAGAGGCTGTAATTCTTGCTCTGGTGAGAAACTGGTAACTCTGAAGCATCAGCCCAAGCTTCCTTCTTACAACTCTAGAAACAAGAAATACAAGTAAAGCAGAACTCTGAGAACACCTCCATATGAAGTGCTACTTGAATGGTCTGAGAGAAAAGAAACACTGTCATGTCTCGGTTAACTTCTTGTCACCTGTTTCCCAAGCTCAGGATGGCTCAGAAAAAGCAGTATTAGTGACAAGATCCCAAATAAAGGGTTAAAAAAAGCATGTATAAATATTGCTAGTTGTTGTGATCCTACTTACCAGAGTTAAGTGCTCAAATGCTGCAGACTTATAAGTTAAATAAATGAGCGTAGACAGATCATTATAAAGCAAGCTTTCACCACAGAGAGTCACACTCAGCTAAAATGTATTTCCCATCTACATAATTTTGATTTACGGAACCATCAAAACTAGTATATAGGAAACCAAGAACATATGTAATTGTTTATACAGCATGATTAAGAGTTGAAAACAACCTGTAAGCTTCTATTTCTATTGAAGTTGCTTCCATGCTAACATTGTACACCTAAAACGTTGGGCAGAAAGAGGTGCTTCTCAAGAATTCGGATTTTCTCCTGCCCTGATGAAGCTGATGTTTTAAAAATAGCAAAGCTAAACCGCCTGTCCAGAGAGGTGTTTTAAGGCATAACCCAGAGAACCAAAGGCCAGACATATACTGATTTACTGACCTGAGCAAAACAAAGTCCTAAAGATTAGTGACTGATTTAGAGAGCAAGTGAAGAGAAGTAAAAGTTAAATGAGAGAACACCAGCCTGACGTTAATTATACAACAGCTTCATAACACACACCGCACCTCTAAGTCTGCTTCATTTGTTCAGTTTGAAACCTCTGAAAATCAAGAAGGTCAGCCCAAGTCAGTAACAAAACACTGAAAAGTTTCATATTAAGTTTTTCCCTCATTTGCAATTACAAGGTCAGAAGGAATGTGTGAATCTCTGCAAATTAAGCAACCACATAACAAACAGGTACATCATCTGAAATACTGAACTTTGACAGGTCTTTCTGCCTGTGTTCATTCCTGACATACCTTGGTGGGGATGGTGAAATATTTTCACTGAAATGCATCTAAGTAATAAATTTGAGGTTATATGATACGGACTATTAACTAACATTAACATTAATTAACATTAATTGCTAGGAAATTCAGTTATAAACCCCTACTGTATAAATTTATGACTCATATACCAGCAGAGTGTGACTTTTGTAATACTATTTATGAAAGCACTAATTACAAGCAATAACTAAAAGAAAAACTCCTAAAATCCACCGAAACTGTCTTCCTTTAGCAATACGTAAAGGTCAAGCATTAAGGCTTAAATATCACTGTGGGTTCCGTTCAAGTGACTTAAATATGAGTACTAACCGAGCATACACTCCATTAAAGAGTCTGGGTCTTAAAACTACAGAGACATCACAGCAACGAGCTAAGATTTACAGAACAGTGATAACTGGAGCACAAGAATGAATTGGCAGGTACAAAACGCTGAAAAACAGGAAAGAGTAACTTGTCTGCCCAAGTGTGCTCACAAGAAACTGTGGCACATAGAATGCTCTTTTATTATACTGATAAATACTACTTGCTGACACCAATATTTACTCCAAAGGGATAGCAAACCAGTATTTTCAGAATGATCAGGACAAAATAGTGAACGTACACACTGATTATATGCCAATTTACTTCGTGAAAAATTACCTGCATTAAAATGAGGATTATCTTCCATTGATCGCACTGCCTCCTCAACTGCATCTAAGGCACTGCCTCCTTGTTTCAGGATGCTGTAGCCTTGCAGTGCAGCTCTGATAACACCAGTACGACAGCCCTGTTCTCGTTCTTTGAAGATCCGGCCAGCTCCACCATGCACCACGATGACAGGCTTCATCCTGAAGGCCAAATTCCTTCCAAGGCTTTCAGCTGCGCCAACAGGTTGCTCTTAATCAGCCTGCTTCGGAAAGAACAGCATTTAGCATTTGTTCCCTTCTACACAAGGAAAGCGCCCTGCAGAAAAGTTACAATACGCTTAGTTTGACCTCAATGCTTTTACCTCTCAGGAAGCTGAGCACACAGGCAAAGGAGCTCCTACAAGATATTCAAGTTCCAACCGGAGGAGCCCCCAAGCAACTTGGCACACCCCTGAGCTCAGTTCTGCTTCTAGCTGGGCTGGGTGACCTCTGTAGGCCCCTTTCAAGCAAAGGTACGCTACGATCTCATGATTCAGCACGAAGCCTGTCTGGCGATCTTATTATTTTACAAGTTATACAGCAACAAGCATCGGTGTCTCAGTGCTGCGAGCTGCTCGTTAGATAAGTAATCCTGTTCTTCAGGTGCAATAATATAACCAGAGATGAAGCCACTGACCCCTGTTAGCAGCGTAACTCTGCTGCCCAGGTGCCAAACCTCTGACCTCTTGCAAAACGTTGCACTTTGGGCAGCAAAACGAAGCGTTTAGACCTGGTGGTTAGCTCTTTTATTGCCACTTCTCACGAGGAAAACAGCACCGCTTACACCTCCTGGGGCGCAAAGGAACCGGAGCTTCACCTCCTGCCGAAAGCTAGGGCAGGAAGGGATGCACCCTCCACATTAAATGATTCCTAGGCCCTGGATTTTTATAAATTGTGGAAAATGAGATCCAGCTGCTTTTCCCTCACTGTACCTGCACACCCTCCGGACGTTACCCCGGCCGCCCGCACCCCATAGCCCCCACAGCCCACCCTATTTGGGCCCTGCAACCCCAGACGGGGCAGAAAACTCTCCCTTTTCACTGGAGCCCACCACGTAAGCGAGGCCTCCCTCTTGGGAAGCGTTTTTATTTCGCCGCCAGCCGCGCTCGGCCCTCCGCGGGGCTCCGGCTCCTGCCGCCCACAAGGGAGGAGCCCGGCGGGGGCTCTCCCCGGCCGCCCCCACGCCCCGAGCCGGCTCCTCCGCGTCCATCCAGCCTCACCCACCCTTGTGGAGAGCGAGGGAAGGGCTCGGCCCCCCCGTGTGGCCCCCGTCCCGTCCCGTCCCCTAGCGCAGCCCGCAGCGGTGGCGGCGGGCGGGCGGTTCCCTCCCCGACATGGCGCCCCCCGCCGCCTGAGGGCTGCCCGCCGCTAAGATGGCGGCCGCCCTCTGTCCCCTGCGCGCCCGGCGCCCGGTGGCTTTAGGCTCGGCGGTGGTGCTGTGTGTGTCGGCAGAATAAGGGTGTATGTGGGAGTATAAACGCCAGAGATGTTGCTCTGGCTCCCAGCTCTGTAAATTTGTGTCCCCACAGCCCAGTTTGTCACCGGTGATGGAAATGAGCGGTCCCTTCCTCACCCCCGCCTCAGAAAAGGGCTCAGTGTGGTGTGGGAGAAATGCCTGCACACAGGTGCGCAGAGGTGACATTTCTACAAAAATCAGAAGGAACAGCCAGGGAGCATGGCTTCTTCCAGCAGGTGACGTGTCCCGGAGTACGCTGATGTGCCCAGTGCAGGACCAGCCAGTTTGTTCACGATGAGACGATAACCGCTTTTATTTCTTCTCAGTGATGTACCTTCTCCTATCAGATGTTACACCACCTTTAATTTCCTCATCACTCACTGCCGCTTGGTTTCTCCTTAAGTTAGATTAGAAAAATGACACCTCTTTTCCAAATCAAAACCCAACAATACATGGCATCCGCCCTGCCTTCTGCTCTTTTAAACAAGCTGGGATTATTCATCCCCAAAACACAAACTGAATAGTGTACATAAACTGACACTGGAAGGTGTAGTGAGACCTAAGGAATCTGAGTCTTCAAGCTGAAAGAGACCAAGTGACAATAAACTGTATATATCCATTCAGATTCGAAATAGATAACTAAGACAGGAGATAAGTTTGCCTTTTTTTTTTTTTTTTTTTAATAATAGGCTGCTGATGGAACACATAGTTGCTTGCTATAAAAAGAGGAACTTGAAAAATTCTTCCTGGAAAATAAAAATAAGAAAAATACTTGAAAAATGCAATGAAAAAGTTAACTGAAAAAAAAAATAAAATCATAGTTTCTTACCTTTATGGCAAAAAAACATAAGAATTTCTCCGAATTTATGCAAACCCTATACCTGACTGCAGCCAGCTGCCTTGCTTCACCATTTCCGTTTAGTTCACCACCTCTTCACGTTTTTCTACTATTTTTCATTTCACGCTAGGTTCTGGAGACAGCAGTAAATGCAGCCTACTCTGGACACACAAGGAGTTGAGTTGACGTGACTGTGCTGAAGAACAAGGATTTATGGCAGTGTGCAGTCACTCAATTGAAGATCTGTTTTGATTCTGAACGTTGGTTTAAAATGAATTAGCATGGTGTAATTAAAAGGAACTACACTGGATGGTTTTTCATTGTCACTGATAGGATTAACAAAGAGGAATTTAAATTTTGAATGTGAATTATTTGAGAGTACCTCTTTTTTAATAGAATATTTTATCTTGCTTTCAGAGGTAGTGTCAAAACAGGAAACTGATACTAATTGAATGAAATACTTTAGAAGAATTATTTCAATTGCTTGCATGGACAGCTGAACACAAAATTTATATAATAACATTAAATTGAAATATTAATATTAGTCTAACATTGTCATGACTCAACAAAGCAAGTATGTCACCTGATAGAACTGGCATACTCTGTTTTTACATCAGTTTTCTACCCTAAGCTTTCTTTAGCCACCTTCTTTGCTGCAGTGGTCAAATCATTTTTATTTATTTTTTTAACTGAGTCACAATCAGTTTCCAAATTAGCATTGGAACAGCAGAGGGAGAGGGCCACCAAAAATGTCTGGGTAGCCAGTAAGGTAAAGGCAATTGTTTCATACATCATTCCTTACGAGTCAGCACTGAACTGCTTCCCGCCTATTTCACTGGGAGATAGTGGTCTTTTAAACCCTTTTTTAGGAATAGGATGTTTATTAGTATAATTAGAAAAATACTGCATATTGAAGAGATGAGTTAGGCAGAGCAAGCAAGTACGCTGATGAAAAAGTTCCATAGAAGTTAATGACATTCTATATAAAGAAATGCCTTAAAACCCCACAGAACTTGCTGAAAAGTATTTTTTTTAATTTATTTTGCAACTAATATTTAGGGTTTCTTTTAATCAATGTATTGTATTCTATATCAGGAATCTGTTATAAGACTATGTAAACTGTTAGTTTTAAATAATTACTGCAGAAACAGATGTATTGACTTCATCCTTGCTAATTTTCTTAAGAGAGCTTTGCATATTTTAATTGCTGGAGAAGCACCTGTAAAAATATACAGAATAAATGAGTTCGTTCGCATGCTTAGCCTTGTGGAGATTAGCTTTCCTGCTTGTAAGCTGAATGCGATACACTTGAAAGAGGTGGGAATGTATTACAGTAGGTGAGTAAGTGCTAGAGGGCTGAAGCTGGGGAGCAAGTGATCACAACATGTATGGAGAGAGAAAGTACAGCTAAAGATCATTGGGTCTTACCCTGCATCTCAGATGACTAAAATGCAACTATAATTGTACCTTCAATTTTCCCACAGAGCCTATTTAATAAGGACAAGCCTGTCTGCTTCTAGAGAAAGAATTCCCTTAGAATCTCACTGAAAATTTGATTTTAGGAACCAGCGAAGAAAGTAATCCATATTGTAGAAGTAGCTCCTTTAATATGTACTCATAATTATTCTTTTTTATATATTTTGAATAAATGTTTATGTAGAAACTTGTCTGTTATCTATGAACTATTTCAAAATATTAAAAACATGATGTGGAACAGAAAGCAGTGTTCTGTATTTTATTACTGAATTCTGGGAGCATGCATCGCTGATCAACACTAAGCAAGTGTCGTAAACATGCAGAGACACAATGCTAATCCAAAAAGTCTGCAAACTTGAATCTTTGTATGTGGGCAGAACTCATGGTGATCAGTGCAGCGTTACGATGCTCAGGTCATGCTCTACAAAAACTTATGCATGTTGAATAACTTTGTTCACATGCACAGTCTGATTAAGTCTGCAAACCACTTCTTACCATATTGTTATTATAAAGAATATGCTACCATTTAGAGAAGATGGAAAACTCAGTTCCTCTGAGAATCAATCTAATTTTTAATGGAAATTGCAATATTTCTTAAACTTGCTTTCAGATAAGATCAGCAATTAAATGTGCAGCAGTAAAAAAATAGTAGCTACGGTATTCACTAAAATACAGAAGTGATCACCTCAATTGTATTAATGAGTTGTATATTGAATAGTTTAATGGCAAATATTTTCTTGGGAAGATTGCCCAGAAATGAGACTGATGGTTTCATTTCCCTACTTTGAGGAGATTTTAACCCAGAATTTTTGTCTATTTCCATAATACATAAAACATCAATACAGGGAGTACGCAGGGTCTCCCCTCTTCTCTTGATACTGTTTTTAATGTTTGGAGGTTGCCTCAAACAAGAAGCTACAGCATATTATTGTCCTTGTAGTATTTTATACGCAGTGGAAGGGTACCAATGAAGAGACCAAAGCAGGCAGCTCTCTGAGAATACTATTTGCTGGGGGAGAGGAGCCAGGCAGCATATGCTACAATACCAGTAATGGGAAGTCTCAGTTGAGATCCTAGTTCTGAATCAGGTGCAGAGTGGATCTAATTAGTTTCCAATGCTACAGTTTTAAAATGGCTCTGGCAGTTCCTATCTCTGCATCATGTGTGTTTATCAAGAAAGGGAATGCCCAAATTCAGCCCTCTGCTCTGCTGAAGGTGCACTCTTGGTGAGCATCCTAAGCACAAGGCAATAAATTGCAACACAGATTACTGGCAGAGACTAAATTGGAAATTTTTGTTTTCCTTTTCTTTCTGTTATTGCAATAAAAAAGCCCTGAAACCATGTTGCATTCATGTCACTGCACTTCTGAAGAAATGTACTCATCCATCACCTCTGTGCTTTTGCAATCCCTCCCACGGTTTGTGAAGCCTACAAATGCCGCCTGCCCCGTTCTAGTGACCAATTCCAAAGCACACAGATCAAGGTCAAGTTTTGGAAGTTATTTTCAACTTTCTTACTGCTTATTCCAAGCTTTACATTTGATCTGTAAAATCCTTTTAGTCATTCTTAGTTTGCTAATCTGCATAGCAGATATGTGTGATCTGTTGGAAAACCTACCTATACATCTGACAGAAGCTTAACTATCTTCCCAGCAAGTGCAGGGAACTTCTGTGTCAATCAGTTCAGAGAAGATGGCACCCTTAGAGCTGGCAAGAGTTGTACTTGCTTTGTCTCAAGTCTGTTCCCCCAGCCAAAAACACTTGCAAACTCCTTAGCTATCACAACAATTGCAAGTGCTTAAAAACCCATATTTGGGAAATATTTCACTTACCTGCCTCTCACATTT